GCTTTGAGTGTAGACTAAAATTACGATCTATACAGAATGTACCATCGTCATACAAATAAAGCTGATAGGCCTAGAATTTCAGTATTCCATTAACATTGTTTATAACATTTAAAATTTTAAAGTTGTTCTATATACGAGTACATTAATGGCACCTACACATAAAATCTGTATGCTAGACTGGTTTGTATCAATGACAAATTTCCAAAAAGTAGTAAAGAATAAATCGGGGCATTTGCTTTATCAAAACATATCATTGCAATTAAGTATTAATAATATATTGATTTGAGGGCTAAGATTCAGATCGTGTTCTAAAATCTTTTTCGTTCTTAAAAATTGTTACCACTTTCTAACATAGTATAATTAATTATTTAAATGGTTTTTCATTAAAGGTTTTATTTCAAAAAAGGAAGATCTCCAATTTCTAGACGATCATTTTTTCACATTACATAACTAGCAATTCAATCACGAAACCTATTTATTTTATTTCACAATATGACCTTTATGAGAAACTTCAAAGTTTGAAATGCGCATAAAAGAATTCCAAGAAATACTACTCTATGTTAACCACATAACCCTTTTTCAAATATTCAATATCATTTAAGCATAGATTCTTATTTATTTTCAAATAATTATTAAATTATGTGTATAAAATATAAAATTAATTTTAAATCTAGCAATCAACACTTGCAAAATTCAGTAGTTGATTCCAATCCCACCCAATACACATTATTCCAAGGAGATTTTTAACCTAATCCACGTAAGCTATCCATATTTGGCCGCATTCCCTTTTCCGCCGGCTGTGGCTGTGACTTAGGTTCTCTATCCCAGGCATTTCCACTGAGTTTCTCCTGGTAAATGGGCTGTTGTTGGAGCTCTTCGTAACCATTTAGCTCAAATTCATTACCGCGGATCTGGCTCGCGGACATGAGGAGTAGCAGCAGCAGCAGCATCAGAGAAGGACAGGTGAAAAGCAGCAACACTTTGGTTCGCATCTTTACGAATAACTGTCAAATGACGGGTTGACGGTGCTTATATACGAGTACTTCCCGCCCCAACTGGATGCTGGAGCGCGTTTTTTCTTTCTTTCGCGCAGGTAATTAGACAGTCGGGCAGCCTTACAAATTTTTGTCATTGAATTACAAAACAAAACAATGCACAGCTGTGCTGCAACTGCTGCCTGTTGCATCAGCCTCTGTCTAAATTTAAGCCTTAATGTATGCAAAACAACAATAACAATTTTTTGCAGTCGAAAATTTGCCATTGGAGCCGACACTTCAAAGAATCTCATGAATCAGTCCACAACGATGAGACGCTGGCGCCGACCAATTTTCCTGACTACCGCGCAGCTTCAAGTGTTGCTTTTAATTAGTTAATTGTCTGTCTTAAGACCTAGCAACAAATAACAAACAGATTGTTAGTAATAGGTGATACAGTGGGGCTTAATTAGAGCACATCTACTTTGAAAAATGATTAATGTAAGTGGATTTGCTTTTAAATTAATATTCCAAAGTCATATTCCAAAAATGTAACTCACTTCTACAACAATGGCTTTTAAATGCTAATAACAAAATTGAGACTATATGTATTTAGTCTTAGCATTTAGTATATTTATTAAATGTAATTAATAAAATGTAGTTTCTTTTATCAATAACGCCAAGAAATAAATGGGACTGTTACTTGCTGCCATACAAAGAGTAGTTATCCCAAGACTTAGACAAGTTTATTTTTGATATAAAAAACATCAACAAACCAAAGTGAGGATCAAGATTGAAACTTTTGAGTGGTACGAATGCTAACTTAAAAAAAATTAGCAAAATTGTACATATACATGTACAAATAAATATTTCAAAATAAAATACAAATATTTATCTACAAATTTGTTAAAACTTAAATATTAATCATGCTTTATATATCTTGTATATTTAGCTGATGTGGAAACATTCATCATCCCCTTTCAGAAGCCCTCTAACTCGCATTTGATCAATCATTATTAAAATCATGTTGTTTCTAATTCCAATGAGAACATACTCATATAGATAAACAACCGACAATGATTTAGTCAACTTGGAAAATTACAAAAATATTTAAAATTTGAAAAAAAAAAAATTTTTGTTTTTCATTGTTTGAATAATTGAATAGTCGTAAAGGGTCTAAATAAATAAGTTGTGGCTCAGCTGGTCTGCCTAAAACATATTCTCGGAGACTCTTCATATTTTTGTATAAAATTATTTTCAATTTATTTCGAGTTTATTCTGTGAAAATATGAAATAAAAGATCTAAATAAACAAAACGTATACTTTTATACGGACCTGAAAAAGAAAGATTGCTAACCAACAAAAAACTGTCAAAAACTTTATTTATCAATACAAAGTTATTAGTAAAGAAATATTTTACAAATCCAACAACATATGCTTACTGGTGTTTACATACAAATGTTGTCGGACAATGTCCGAAACGTTTGATACAACACAAATTCTGAAAATTATGAACAAATATTAACAACAAAACAAAAGTTATCGCCAATAAAGTGTGGAAATCAAAACGCAAACAAGTGCTGCATTTTTAATAAGCATTTTCATTATATTTTTGTCAACGTTTTTGTTAAATTAATTTTCAGCCTTCATAAGGTTTTTGAATATATTTGGGAGTGAGTCGTGGTATTGCTCTCCATTCAGAAAGGTAAAGGACTCCTAATTAATAGAATAGTATACACCTAATTCTGTTTTTACCCGATAGATTGGTTCTAGAATCAACCGTGTAAAAAAAGACATTGATCATATGCAAAAATAGGTGATTGGTTCCTTACCTCTAAAGAAATATATGCAATTTTTAATTTTCAAACCGTGTTACATATATCAAAATACCGTGTAAAAAGAGAACAAACATCAAACATCGACACATTCCTTAATTTTAAATTCGAAATATTTGCACACAACAGTTCGTTATACGAATGCTCCACTGTATTACAGATGGCCGTGAATGCAGGCGTCCTTCACACTTAACCCCAATCAATGTTTGGGGTGTGCTGGACTGCCTTTGTTATGCTGCTAATCCAGCCAGCCAGGCCAGGCCAGGCCGCAGCAATTACAGCAACACAAAACACAAAACACTCCACTCAATTTACAACTTTCACCGATGAGTCGTCAAGTTCAAGCAACAGACGCCCCCACCCCAGTCACCCCTTTGGCGTAGACTTCTTCAATTACTTTTTGCACGATTTGATTTTACATTTAACGATTTCTCACACTTAATTAGAAAAGAGTGCTGGTGTTGCTTGTGCTGTTGCTGCCTCTACCTCTGCCTCAGAGGCAGAGGAGACTGCCACTGACATTGCCGGGAAGAGTGATTTGATTAAGTGTGAAGATGAACTTTAATTAAAACCTTTATGCCTCAGCAGCCACTGTTGTTGGCATGTTTTTTGGCAAGTTTTTGACACTTAACTTTATGCCACGCCCCCATCCAGCTATCGCCCTCTAAGAGTTCACAGAGAGGGCGGTGCTTAATATAGCAATAAATGCCGCAAGTTAATGGCAGCCCTTTGGTGAGCTTATTTTCATAGTCATCTATCTGTGGGTTTTAATTTATGCAAAATGAAAATTAAAGAGCGCCGCAAAAACTTTTGTAGAATGTACAAGTATAGTATGTGAGAAGGATGGATTCCACCGAATATTAATGAAAATGGCAGCTTAATGAATTTTCAAACTAATTTCGGGTACTGCCATCAATTTCAATTCCAGTTAATGACTCTTTGGGGCAACTGGGTGAACTATTGAGGCAACTCATGCACAAAATTTGTAGATATCAAATGGTTGGTTAAATATTTAAACATAATTCAAAATAAATATCAAACAATGGCAGTGCGTTATGTCAATGCAAATAAAGCGACTGCAGTGAAAAACTTTAGACAAAACTTTTCCACAAACACATACAGAAAGAAAAAATATATATAAAGAAATTTCTGTGAAAAACTCCACAAACACACACACACACACAGAGAGAGAGACACAAACACACACTTACAAACACATAGAGGCGGTTGTTCGCAGTCACGTGCAGGCAAAAAGCATTTATAAAAACTTTTCCACACTGTGGGTTAGTCGTGGCATGCCATTCAACATTACGAGCCAACAGTTTCCGCAGTGTTTTTTGTCATTTCCATGCGCTCATTGTCAGTTTTAAGTAAGCAACTTCCTCTTCTTGTTGTTTTTGTTGTTAACGAAAAAGTTTGTGCCAAAAACTGCCTACAAATGCAGACAAATATGGAAAAACGTATGAAATGCAATAAATTTTCAAATACACAATATTTTTGTGTGCTGTCGGCACTGGACACATACACATACTCATGAATACATACATACTTGTATGTATATAGGTTTTCATTGTTTTAAAACGGAAAAAGTTTTGAAATGCACCCAACACCCAAAATCCAAGCAAACGGACAGCCAGACTGATAAAACGTTACGCGCCATTTTCCAAACAATCAAAACTTATAATACGAACAACTAAAAGTTAAGGGCACACATAAATCAAACGCTTATTGCAGTACATCTAGCGACGAATTTACGAGCTAGTCTACTTGTACTATAATTGAAAAAGCTTAAAACAGCCATGACTAATGAGAAAGTGCACGTGCTCAAGAAAGGTTTAATTATGCAGCTCATTGGCTACAGATATGCGCTTTTCAACGCAAAAACAAAAAAAAAAAATAAATAAATAATAAAACAACCATAACTGGAGTTTACGTTTCCATTCGTCAATTTACTGTGAATTATTATGTCAATGATGTTGTAAATTTAGAGAGATTTAACTAGAATTTCTCAAGCATTTGACAGATACCCCTTCCACCAACTAGCCGAGCAAACGCCCCCGAAAACACTGATAAAGTTTGTCTGATCAAAATATATCATTTCGACAAACGTCTTTAACCATTGCTGATAAGAAGGAAGTGATATTGCCTTAGCGCGCACATTGCTCATACGTACGTCTAGTGGCTCAAGTGGTTGACTATATAAGTGACTAGATGCGGCGTTGCAATTCATTCGAACGGAACGGTTCGTAGAACAGCGAAGTCTAAGTCAGAGAAATGATTTTGAAAGTGTGCACACTGTTGTTGGTGTTCAGTGCCGCTGCTTTGGCAGGAGAATCCTACGATGGGTAAGTTACGAGAAATACTTACTAGTGGTACTTACTAGTGGTACCTAAATGAACATCAGAGATCTGCAGTTCCAGTGTGCGTCACTTTAAGGAACAACAGTGTAGAATCAGCTTTGACCGCAATAACCATTGATATATTCAGTTAGGGATAATAGCATATATCTACTAGTACAGAATGCTTTTTTCCAATCCGAGCACCCTAAAGTATAAGCAAAAAAGGTAGCTTCCACAGATAAATGCTTGTTAGAATTATCAACAAATCAAAAGTGGGTTTCCTATTATTGTCGCAATCAATCCAAAGACTACTCTAAATGCAATTGTTAGGTGGCCAGTTTGCTTTGTAGAAACTTATTGATTATACTTGTATTTAACAAGCGCACTTCATAACAAACTTTTGTCGTTTTCTAAGCGTTTTCTTTTGTTAATTGGTCACATTCAGATTCTAGATTAATCTAAAAATCTAATGTGGGAATACCAGTCACGTTCAAATTCCAGATTAATCTAAAAAAAATATGGGGATATCAGTGCTTTACTTTTTTAGTATCAATATATGGATAACGCAAAGCAATAAATTTTGTGTTAAGTCCATGCAGAAAAATATTAATTTCACAAACCAAAATCAAAGCATTATTTATAATGAAGATTTTGATTTTATGTAATTTTTAAAATATGCTTACATTGCGCGTTAATATTAATGCAGTGAAATAACCATATAAATCCATAAATCAAAAGTGCTGGTATAGTAGAATTAATCGTGAATAGATTACAATCGCTTATGCCCTGTTTTAAGCACGCAAATGATGCATTCTAGTCCCATCAATCAATCAATCATTTCAACGCAAACGACTGGAACTCACTTCAATACATTGCCTTTGAAAAGAGTTTTCTAAAAACTAGTCTACCCTTGACTTACAAAATCCGTGGCAGCTACTTGTACAGCCCTAGAGATGTTGCTGGCTCTAATTAAATATTTATATTCATTGACATTGACAGGTACAAGATTTACGACATCAATGCGCGCAACGACTTTGAGAAGCAGCTGCTGTTGCACCTGCAGAACAACGCCGACTTGGATTTCTTCGATCTGCCACGCGCCCTCAACAAGCCGGCTCGTGTGATGGTGCCACCCAGCATGCATGTGGAGCTTGAGAAGATATTGCGTCAATTTCACCTGCAATTCGAGCTGGTCAACGATGACTTTGGTGCCACTTTGAAACGCCAGCAATTGGAGAACCAGAGCCAACGTTTGATTGTGCCACGCGACCAGAGCCGTGGCGTCAGCTTCACAGCGTTCCTCCGACATGCCGAAATCAATGCCTATTTGGACGAGTTGGCTAGGACCTACCCCAGTCGCGTGACTGTCCAGGTAGCAGGAAAATCGTATGAAGGTCGCGATCTGAAGACCATCACCATTACCAATGGCGATGGCAATGCCAATAAGAACGTCATCTTCTTGGATGCTGGTATTCATGCCCGTGAGTGGATTGCTCCCGCCGGTGCCTTGTACGTCATTCAGCAACTGGTTGAGAACTTTGTATCAAACGCGGCTTTGCTTAAGAACTACGATTGGGTAATTCTGCCCGTGGTTAATCCCGATGGCTATGAGTACACCCATACCAACACTCGCATGTGGCGTAAGACCCGCAAGCCCGTGACCAGCTCCTGCTACGGCACTGATGGCAATCGCAACTTCGATTACCACTGGGGTGAGGTTGGTGCCTCCACTTTATCCTGCGCCGACACCTACAGAGGCCAGTCCGCCTTCTCAGAGCCCGAGACTCAAATCGTGCGCGACCTTCTGCTCAGTCTGACTGGTCGCGGCAAGTTCTACCTGACGCTGCATTCCTATGGCAACTACTTGCTCTATCCTTGGGGCTGGACTTCGTAAGCGAACTGACATTGACTCATAATTGTTCACCCTGTGCTGATTCCTATCATCTTTGTTACAGCGAACTGCCCAGCTCTTGGACCGATCTGGATGAGGTTGCCAAGGCTGGCGCGGCAGCCATTAAGTCCGCCACTGGCACTGCCTACACCGTGGGCAGCTCCACAAATGTGCTTTATGCCGCAGCAGGTGGCAGCGATGATTATGCCTTTGCCGTTGCCAAGTTCCCCATTTCCATCACAATGGAACTGCCTGCAGGAGGCAGTGGCTTTGATCCCACAACTGCACAAATCAAGCCATTCGTCGAAGAAACTTGGCTGGGCATTAAAGCCATGGCTGAGAAGGTTATTCAAAAGTACTAGGGAATTAGAAGCGGAAAACCAAAGAAATAAACGAATCCACTGCTATATTTTATACCTAACCTACTCATTTTTGACTTGTATTCCATTTGGGTTCTATTTGTTGCCGATAAGCTATATCGACGCCCCGCTGCAATTGGCCTAGAAGGGAAACATTGACATAGTTGCGCTAAAGTGGTTCAAAGCTTTAGCTAAGTGTCAACACTTAATTTTATTGTAAAACCTTTATTGGACTCTTGAAGTGCCGCCAATCCAGTTAAATGTGCAATTCTCACAAATCTCATAGACTAGGTGCTTTAAGTAAACGATTAAATGCATGTGTGTTTATAATGTTGTATACATACTAGTACTTAGCATGTAGTACAAAAAGTATCGGGCTAGCTGGATGAATTCAAGCCTTTTTCGAAAACTATGCAATAGGTAGGAAATTTGAACACTCTTCGTGATTCACGGTTTTGGATATTTGCATTTGTAGAGACGTGGTTTGCGGCCTGTTTATATACAAGGTCGTATGGAGCTTTTCCAAAGGGGAAAAGCGCCAAAAAATTAAAATTTTGATGAAAATAATGCACGAAATAATAATTATGCTCTGTACATACATAAAATGTACAAGAGTATATTAGGTTTGCGGGAGCTGAAAATGTAACAGGCAGAAGGAAGCGTGCCAGATCTTGATCAGCATTATGAGACGAGTCGATTTAGCCCTGTGTGTCTGTCTGACCGTCTGTCCGTCCGCCCGTCTGTCCGTCCGTATGATCACCTAGATCTCAGAGACTATAAGAGGTAGAGACACCAAATTTTGCACAAAGATGCCTTATGTGTGTACGCTATACGAGTTTGTTTTAATGCGTTAGCTTTTGTTTAGACTATCTATTAATAATAATAAATATCTCAAAATGCATATTTATTTTTTTATTTATTTTGACAGACTATGTATGTATATTCATTTTGTTTCATAGTAACTTAATAATTAATACATTTGTCATTCATGTTTAGATAAAATTTGCCTTTAAACTTTGGTATCTTTGTACCTAGTGGATAGAGCTCCATTGCTTTCTTGGCCATTGCGCGTATTGCTGTCCACGACTCCTTAACAAACCCATCAATTTTAGTTTTTTTGGGCCAAAAATCGTTACCTGGTAGCTCGAAGGTAAACACCAAAGGAAAACCAACACAGTACGCATAGTCCTGACTTGTCCCAGATGCTTCATATGATTCATAAATGGCTTTCAAGTCACCTCCTTTAGCAATTACTGCATTAGCTCCAGCATGTGCCACTTGAGAAAGATTGAGCATGTTTTTGGGAAAAACCCTGAGGAAAATAATCAGAATATGATAAAAAATAAATATAAAATGCTAGAGTTGCGATACGCTGGCTTTTAAATATACCTACACGTATGCTATTCTATTACCAATTAAATAAAAAAAAATTAATTTTTTGATTTATTTCGGGGAGAAGTTCGATTTTCTTACACTCCTGCCACCTGACCTTCCTCCTACCTCATTTTCGTCTAGTAATAATCATTTATAATATTTTATACTACGTAGTTATATCTTACACTTCAAACACAATTACCAACTACATAGGAACAGTGTTTGAAACATTAAAATAGTTTTGAATATTCATCACTTTTTATCACTAATTTTAGGTTGAGACAATACAAGAGAGTGCAATTTAAATAGTTCTGAATATTCATCTCGAATTGTATTTTCTTTATCTTTTCACCATGTACTCTTTCAACTTACCTGTTAGTATAATCGTAGCTGTAGAGAATTGCATTCATATATGAATGCAGGGTTATATACATAATGCCTCGTCCACTCACTACCAAATCGTGCATTATATCACGCACAATTCTGGACTCTGGCTCCGAAAATGGCGCATTCCCTGCAAACAATTCACTACGGGGATTTCGAGAGCTACCATCCAAGCGTCCCCATTGAAAACCAAAGTTGCGATTCAAATCGGTGCCTATATAGCCGTTACGACTTGGCTTTCGATTGAAGCGCCACATATTATTAAAAGTGTATGAGTGCACGTAACCATCTGGATTGACCAAAGGCAAAATTATCCAGTCGTAATCTTTAAGCAAGTCCATATTTTCCTTGAAGTTTGAAACCAATTGTTCCACCAAATATACGGCGGCATGAGGCGGCAGCCACTCGCGACCATGGAAAGTAGCATCCACGAAAATAACGTTTTTATCGGTTCGTCCGTCGCCATTCGTAACCGTAATCGTTTTTAAAGTCCGGTTCTCATACGAAAAACCAGCGTCCCTTAGCTGAACTCGATCCGCATTGGCCTTTTCTAAGTTTTGTAAGTACTCCATAATTTCTTCATAGCTTAATGTGTTAGCACTATCGTTAGGCACTTCCTTTAGAATAAATGGAGGGCGGCCTTTCAAGCTACCCGACCACCCAACACAAACGCCTACAAGGGCGACTAAGCACAAAGTACGTAACATTTTTGCTGAAGACAGTTAACTAAAAGTTGAGGAAGAATGGAAGCACTTATAAACCCTACCAAGGGCTAACGTGGCCTGCGACTGTATCTGCGGCGCAATAAAGTGTCAAACTTACGATCACTGCCAATCATCCAACAGTCAAAACGGTAACTATAATGATAAACTGAAGATTGGAATAATTGTTTATTACAAAGTTAGACCTAATATTTCATTCCAATGGATATTTTTCAACGACTTTGTGTGCCATAGCCACTATTCCAACCCACGTCTCCTTAACGATACTATCAATAGCTGATGGAGGTGGATCAAAATCATTTGGACCACCAGCTGGCAATTCCATGGTGAATGATATGGGAAATCCGGCATGGAAGGCGTAGTCGTCGCTGGCGCCCGCTGCTACATAGAGCACGTTGGTCGAAGAACCGATTTCGTATTTTGTGCCTGTGGCGGCATATATAGCCTCAGAGCCGGCAGTCGCTACCTCATGCAAATCGTCGACAGTCTCCGGCAAATCGCTTTAATAAAAATAATTAATGGATAATAAATACTACTTCCACAAAACTCAAGGAACTCTACTTACGGCGTCCAGCCCCACGGATAAAGTATAAGATTGCCATAGGAGTGCAGGGTCAAATACATTTTTCCTCGGCCGGAAAAAGTGTGCAGTAAGTCACGCAACACAACGACCTCAGGCTCTGACAAGGCTTGCGGTCCACCATAAGTATCTGAGCATGGATCAGAAGAGGAGCCCCCCTCATTCCAATGAAAATCAAAATTGCGATTAGGATCAGAGCCAATACATTCGGCGCTACTTGGTTGGCGCGTTTTCCGCCAAAGCCGAGTATCCGGCGACAGCTGTGTGTACTCATACCCATCGGGATTAACTACGGGCAGCACTACCCAATCATAGTCCAACAGCAGTTCATGATACGCGACAAAGTTTTCCACGAGCTCACTTATGGCATAAAGTGCTGCGGCAGGAGCAATCCACTCGCGAGCATGAATGCCGCCATCTATGAAGATGACATTTTTGTTTGTGCGCTGATCGCCATTCGTTATCGTAATAGTCTTCATCCAACGACCCTCGTAGCTCTTGCCAGCGGCCTTAATGAAAACGCGTGTCGGGAAACGCTTAGCCAGGTCTTCAAGGTACTGATTTATCTCCGAGTGCGTATAATAGCGTTCGGTGCTCAGGCCACCCTCGTACGGAATCTCCCGACCAAGGGTTAGACCCACATCTCCATTGACCAGCCTATAGCTTATGCCAATTGTATCCAATAACTTGGCAAAAGTTTCCTCTGTTGAACGCGCGGAGGCACCCAAGCCCCTTTTATTATAGAGCCCATGGAATGAGTCATTTCTTGCCAACTCAGCAAACCTAAAATTTTCAACTGCCGATCGCGACTTTGTTGCCAGCTCAAGCTCCTTATAGCTATGTAAAAATTTGAATTTGATATATACTTGTACATTTGCTTTTATTTTTATCAGACTTGCCCCTTACCCGTCGTACACGCTGCTACTCACGAGTACTAAACACAAGTTGGACAACAAGAGCCATAAATACGTCATCTTACCACGACGCAAACTTTGAAGAAACTAAAAGTCTGTTATCAGAATTCGTTTGGGAGCAAAAAATCTAACCAGCCCACAAAGCAAAGATTGTCGATTCGATATCATGCACACATTGGCCAAAATGTTCACTATCTGTTTATTTATCTCAAAAAGCCGTTGTGCAAGCATAATGATCGATAAATTTAATTAATTGCACGTCTAGTAGCAAATATCTAATACTTTTCCAGTAGCTTCTGGGCCATAGCGCGGATGCCAATCCAAGTTTCCTTCACATACTCATCAATTTTCGTTGCGGGCGGATCGAAGCCCGTAGCACCCCCCGCACTCAGTTCCATGGTAATCGATACGTTGAACCCGGCATAGAACCCGTAATCATCACTCGCACCTGCTGCGATGTACAGTACATTCGTGGACGATCCATAGGTATATTGAGTTCCCGTAGCCTCCTCTATAGCGTCGGCACCAGCGCGCGCCACCTCATCTAGATCCTCCCAGGTGTCGGGCAGGTCACTGAAAGAAATCGATTTAGTTCGGAATGATGTTCTTTTACGTAGACCTACGCACCTAGTCCAGCCCCACGGATAGAGAAGATAGTTGCCATAAGAATGGATAGTAAGGTACATTATGCCACGAGCAGAAAGCGAGTGCATTAAATCACGCACCACAATGGTTTCCGGTTCCGAAAATGGCGTTGGTCCTGCATATGTGTCGGTGCATGGAGTCGTCGAGGCACCCTCTTCAGCCCAATGGAAATCAAAGTTACGATTCGGGTCGGCGCCATGGCAAGTCACTCCTAAATATTTATATGGCTGACGTGTTCTACGGAACATGCGCGCCACTGTTCCCGTCTGGGTGTACTCATAGCCATCGGGATTGACCACAGGCAGTATGACCCAATCGTAGTCCAGCAAAAGCTCTGCGTTATTTTCAAAGTTCTCCACCAGCTGATCGATAACATAGAGGACAGCAGCTGGAGAGATCCACTCACGAGCATGGAAACCCCCATCCATAAAGTTAACCTTCTTATTTGGACGGCCATCCCCATTGGTAATTGTAATTGTTTTAAGCTCGCGTTTCTCATAAGACCACCCAACGGTTTTGACGAATACACGGGTTGGGTAACGTACTGCCAAATCATTAATATAGCTTATGATCTCCGCATGAGTGTAGTAACGTTCCGTGCTAAGTCGACCCTTGCCTGTGATGGGGAAGAGACGACGTTGTAGCTGGAGCTGCGCGAACTCCTCGGCAATGGTAGCACCAACGTTGCCATTAAGAATGTTGTGGCTCATCCCTTGGTCTGCGAGCAATTTATCAAAACTCTCACGCTGTGCAGGACTCAATAAAACACGCGACTCCTTGCCAACCAAACGACTTAGGCTGAAGAAGTCGTAACCCTGGTGGCTCAGCTCGTGGAGCAGCTCCGTCTGCGCGGCATTAGCTGGTCGCACCTCGTAGATACCATAGCTAAATAGCCACACCCAGAGTTATTTAACAACTACTTAGGAAAACCAGGAATCTCCACTTACCCCTCGTAGCTGTTGGCAGCCAACGTAATGCTAAGAGCACAGCCTAATAGTAAAACCAGCAAAGTTAGACGCAACATTTTTTACGGACTAAGCACATGCCGTCCAACGCGCGAGTATTTAAGTAATCGACGTAATCTAATCAGCTTCGAATAGCTTCGACAAGATCTATAAATTATAAGCTATTGAGTATGTTTTACTCGCCAAATAGTTATATCTTTATTTATGATTTGGAAGCTAGCAAATTCTTTATCTTTAGTAACGCCTTATCACCTCTAGAGCCATGGCGTGCACTCCTATCCAGGTCTCTGTCAGTATGCCTTCAATTTGAGACACCCACGGATCGAATCCTACAAAGCCGCCGGCAGGTAACTCCAGTGTCATAGCTGCAGACACATTTGCCACGCCCACAGCATAATCTGTCGAGTCACCAGACGTAGCATATAGAACGTGATAAGCACTGCCATATGTATAAATGCCATTGGTTGCCTGCACAATGGCCATCGCGCCAGCATCCGCCACATAGAACATATCGTCATAGCCCTCGGGCAATTCTCTGCAAGTGGATTTAGAACGATCGCGAGATTGATTATTTCTGTTTCCTACAATTTAATACTAATGGATAATACCCATCTTCAACTTTTTAAAGTTAAATACATTTTCATATCTTATTACCTTTGATTAGAATACAACTTTTTATACCCTGTACCCGTAGGGTAGAAAGGGTATATTACTTTTGTGCATAGTATGTAGCAGAACGAAGCATCTCCGATCTACTTGTATGTAAAATATATATATTCGTAGTTAGCATGATGGGAAAAATCCGTCCGTCCGTCTGTCTAAATGTCTAGGCTAGGTTGTGGTAGACAAAGCGTAGGTAATAAATGCATAATCCAAATCGGTTGATTCAAAGAAAAGTTATTAGCGAAGCATTTTTATTCCTATACTACGCCCACAAACTGCAGAATGGGATTCACCTTTCTTCTTCTTCTGCTATTGATGGGTGCATATAACTCATCGTCGGAAGTTTGTTTGGGTACAGGGTATTTCACTGTCGGCCTTGCTCGACTGTAGCATTATCTCTTGGTTTAGAGATAAAACTGCGAACTTCAACATAAAGTAGCCCGAATTTATACTAGAAACTCCACATCGCTACGGAATAGTGATAGGGATTTCAAACTAAGTTCTATTAGCACTTACTTTGTGTGGCCCCAGGGCAAGAGTATGTAATTGCCATAAGAGTGTAGTGAGAGATACCACGTCAGACGTCCACTATAGTGCAGCATTACATCACGTAGCATCTGTGCTTCGGGTTGGTCAAACGCGTACTCTCCACGGTAAATATCTTCGCAAGGATCATCCGATGAGCCTTCATCTAGACCCCACTCGTAACCAAAGTTTCGATTTAGGTCGGTACCAATGCATTCTGGATCAGTGGTGGGTCGACGGGTTTTTCGCCAATAGCGCTCAGCTGTATGCGTATACTCATAGCCATCGACATTTACGACCGGTATTATGAACCAATCGTATTCATTCAACAGCTCATGATTATCCTCATAATGGTCTAGCAACTGTTCAATTATGTAAAGAGCCATTGAGGGCGCAATCCATTCACGTGCATGCATTGCTGCATCTATCAATATAATGGGCTTATTTGGATGTCCATCTCCATTGGTGATGGTAAGGACCTTAATGGTGCGTCCCTCAAAGCTACGCCCAAAGTTCTTGACAAATGCACGAAACGGATAGCGCTCTGGCAGGCTATCTAAATAAGCATTGATCTCGGCGTGAGTATAGAAACCTCCGATGGCCTCAATGTATGGCAATTGAAAACGGGCCTTGCTGCGTAAATTCTCTTCATGCTGTGCCTTCACCAATGGTGCCAAGTCATCGACCAAAACTTGATGCTTTAAATTGTGGTGTTCAAGTTGGGCCAAGACCGCGTCGGCCTTATTCGGGTCCATCAAAATGCGAACGCTCTCATTGTTGCTGAACCGACGCTGTCCCATCAAATCGATGTTAAATTTCTGGGCCAGTTGCATGAACGTCCGATGTTCAGATATAGATTGTGCTTGCAGCTCCAAGAGCTTATAATCCTTGTAATCCTGTAGCGCAGTGGCCCACAGCGGAAGCAATAATGTCAGAAACAGCCACACTGGTATCCGAAACATCATTTTCACTCGAAATACTTTAATATACTGAGCTCCCAATTTCAACGCGTTCTTCAATATCGACTATTTATCACTTTATTGGAGGCACTAACAGCCGCTTTTGGCCATTTAGCTAGATATCGTTTATGTGACTAGACGCTGAAGTAGTCAAGAATATTTATTGCACAAATAACAAGTAAACAGGGTAACTGAAAGCTATCCATCTGTTATGACTCAACCCATTTTTATTAATTCGAATTGGCCCTAATTCGACCTCTTGCGGGCAATTTTCGTACAATACCAGGGGTAGGAGATACGAGATTAAGATAAAACGGGATGGCTGAAGAGAGTTTCATAAGCTTTAGCCGCAAAGATAAATGATTTAGATGATGCATTCTTCTGATAGCTATATGATTGAACTCAAGATCAAGAATTTGGAAAGCTTCTAAATGTTTGATAAAAAAATAATTAATTCCAAAACAGCGACAAACAGAGAAATTAAATTAACCATTTATGCATCCGATTTTAATAAATTGAAACAGAAGTTCCATTATTATTCTATTATTATTATATTATTTTATTATTATAATAATATTCCAGTATTACTAAGTAGCTCACCATTAATTGCTTGACCACATAAGTTTTTATACCCTGTATCCGTAGGGTAAAAAGGGTATATTAGGTTTGTGCAAAGTATGTAACATGCAGAAGGAACAATCTTCGACCCCATAAAGTATATATATTCTGAATCAGCATGACGAGAGAAATCGATCTAGACATGTCCGTCCGTCCGTCTGTCCGTCTGGATGAAAGCAAGGATCTCAAAAACTATAAAAGCTAGAATAACCAAAGTTGGCATCCAGATTCTCCTAGGTCCGAGAAAGGACGAGTTTATTTATTTTTTTAAGTTTTGCCCCCCTTTTTCCCCGCCCAAGTTGTTATTTGCGAAACAAATTCTCGCCAGTACACCCCCCCCCCCCCCCCAAGCTGCAGCAACAAGTTCGCTATTCTTCTTCCTCTTTTTGCTGCTGCTATGGGCGCATATACCTCAATGTCGGAAGTTTACCTGGGTACAGGGTATTTCACTGTCGGGCTTGCTCGACTGTAGCGTTCTCTCTTGTTTATGTTTCGAAGAGACACTCCAACGAATTCCAAATGCTAACCGTTTAATAAACAATAAAAATTACGTACAGTTTTTGGAACAAATTTGCTTAAACTGCATTTATTTATTTATTTATGTTAAATACACATATCTCTTATTTAGATAACAAGATTTAAAGTCTGGATTTATAGGCTTATTAATGGGCAAAAGGAATGATAGAAATTTGTTTTGTGTTCTAAACGGCAGGTCTAAGGGGTGAAGTCTTAAGCTTTCTGTTTGTGTTTCTGTTTTCAAGAGAACTGATTGATGTTTCTGGTTCTCAGCCTAACTATTTCGTCAACGATGTAAGGAACACCAAGCCGAATCGTTCAATTATCGTATAACAAAAGCTTAATTCTAAGTTTAAGCTTAGATTTTCTGCCCAACAGTTCATTTTTCTTAGCGCTTAGCAACCATGTGGGGCTTCGACATAGGTCTTCCGTCAAGAGTTAGACCCAGATAGAGTTAGACCCAGATATTTTATTACTTCCAGCACAAGAATGGGAGCAGAATTAAAGCTGATTGGAGAATTGTCTCCTCTTTTAAGAGCAAATGTTGCCTGCGATGTCTTTTCTGTGTTGACCGCTCTATTTCATCAGAGAAGCAACTTTCCGAAAGTATCTAGCTGCTCCTGAAGCACTTCAAAAGACAGGGACAACTATGTACGTGTAGCCAGGAATATAATATCATCCGCATAAGTTACAATCAGAAGGGATGTACAGGCAATTCGATACTATATATGTTGAATAAACTATCCACTGAGAATCTTTTTTCTGTTCGTTTATGTTCCACTAACATGTGGTTTAACATTCTTTGTTTTTTACCAAAGCTGTTTTTTTATTTATTAGCATGGAATAAAACACAAGCAATTCTAATTCAATTTGTTATGTCTTAGTCTATATTTGTTTCTCTTAAATGCTTAACAACGACGACATTAATTAGTTTAATTAACAAAATAAATTCAATTGTTGCACTTGAGCTGAAACGCCAAGGCCAAGGACTAATACAGACTAACGTGCCTTATGAACTCGATGAAGCCGGCAAATGTCTCCTTGCAGACGTTAATTATGTCAAACGAAGCCACATGGAACTCCTCACCGGGCAGCTCAAGCGTGTAGGACAAGGGTATGCCCAGACTGCCGTAGGCAAAGTCATCCAAGCTGCCAGAGGCCTCGTACAAAATGGAGGCGGAGGTGCCAATGGTGTAGCGGGTTCCGCGATATTTGCCGATTTGGTTGGCGGCGCGTAAGGCCACCGAGCGCAGAGTGCCGACGGTGGGCGGCACAGTGTTTCTGGATTTTATTGGAGAGAGGGGTGGGGATAGACAACAGACATACAAATGGAATTTAAATGGGATGCAAAAATTTTCGGTTTTAATTGCTTTTAGCAAATAATTGAAAAGTAAATTGAATTTCTTTTCGGCAGGCGTGTTGATCCACCCATCGTCCATGCTCACAAACAAACACAAACAAACACACACACACACACACATATCATACTCACTTCGCGTAGCCGTAGGGATAAAAAATGAATTTGCCGAATGAGTGCACATCCAGGCTGAGTTTCACACGATGACGATTGAATTCCAAATAGCGCACAACAGCCGATGTTTCCGGCTCAGAGTTGGGCGCGGTGCCGGAGTAGACTTCGGAACACAGCTGCAGGTAAAATGTGGTTGGAAACGTGCTCAACTGAAGGTCAAGGTCCACTACTTACATTTTGACTGGCACCCTGGAAGTTCCAATGATTGCCAAAGTTGCGATTAATGTCCACGCCGCTGCAGCCATGACCTGCATAGCGATGACGGTTCTTGCGCCAGAAGCGATCCTGGATTAAGCAAAGCATTTCATTAGAGGATCGCAAATATTTGGAAAGCAGTCAATGCTCAAAACTAATTGGAATCACACTTAACGAATCACTGGCCCTTAGCTTTCTAATCATATCTCAAAACTCACTGTTGTGTGTGTGTACTCATATCCATCAGGATTGACCAGCGGCACCAGAAACACCTCCACATCGTACAGCACTCGCTGGAACGCACGAATATTGGTAAGAAGCTCGTAGGCTAAGTAGAGAACAGTCTGTGTGGTGATCCATTCGCGTCCATGGGCCGCTGCCTGAATGTATGCAACGCGACGTGGACGTACACGGCTATTCAGTGTTATGGATAGAGCTGCGATGTGACGACCCTCGTTGGAGCGACCCAGAGACTCGTACCGACAGTATTGTGGATAACGTGCAGCCAATCCACTCATAAAGTTGAGAATCTCGTGATAGCGCGGGTAACGCGAGAAAAATCCGCGCGCTTGTCGTCGCGTTCGTCGACGCGGTCTCGAATATTCGCAATCCGATGTCTGACATTCCTCCACGTCCTCACCAGTGTCCTCCTCGTCGAAGGTGCTGTTGGAGTGCAGAGCCTGCATCAGCTCCATTAGTGGCTGTGTTTGATAGGTGACGTCCAAGTCACTTAATCGCGATTCAAACACTGCCTGCATCTTGGGACCGACCGTCAACACGGACATGTTGCGCGTCAGAAGCCAAAAGTCCAGTCCTGCATCATTTGTCTGCAGATCCACCATGTATTTGAAGGCATCCTCATTGTCATATTGTACAGTGTACTTGTTATAGCTGGAAAAGAATATTGCATAGTTATTAATCGTTGAGAAACAGATCTTAACTAAAGAATAAAGATTTAATATAAAAAATAAAAATAAAATATTGTAGAGAGACTAAAAGTTAACTCAAAAGACTATTTTTTACTATAGGTCTCCAGTTCATTTAAAAGTAAGCCCAGCTCAGATTTGAAATTAATGCAAGAAATATATATTTTCCGCAAATATAATTTTCTTTTGTACCCAAAATTTTCCACAGATTGTTTGTCAACTACTTTATACTTATTTAAATGACTTCTAAAACTTCTGAATATATTGACCTGCTAAGATCAGCGAAATTATTCCATCAACACAAAACTTACTTGGCACTACATCAACCTTTGTACAATGTCTTCTTTTTTTTACTTTGCAAGAGTCTTATACTTATCTAAAGATTTGCAAATTTATTTCTACAAGTCAATACTCTGTGTCTTGAGTGAGCTAACTAAAAAAAATCCCCCAACATCTGGTTTGTATTTTATCTTAATTTACATTGAGATATCATCATAATTAAGAAACTCAATAGCTTAACATTTTTATTGTTCCTATGGCAGCAACATAAAAAAAAATTCGAAGTTCTTAGAAATGTATCTTCGTTACAAAAAAATAGTAGCAGGTTTTTATGGTTTGAAATAACTTTTACATTCTGAGAAAGTCGAGATTGCCTGTTTAATAAAATCAGAATTATAAGATTTGTGTGTTTATATAGACCAACGATATTTTTAAAGAGACATACATAGCTTTATCGATTCGGGTGGCAAAGATGACTCCAAAAACGGCGACAAAGTGGAGTGGCAAACTAATTGAATGAGTGGACAATAGCGCATTGATTGTGAAAAGCAGTAGCCCAGACAGATCTACCTACTGTAGACTGCAGTTACACACACACACTTGACGCCTTCTTTCTAATTGGACACTAAATTTATGTGTATTAGCCGCCAATGGGCGGCAAAATGAGTTGTTGATTTACAAATTTATGCAAAGTGCTGCGACGCCAGTGCCATTGATGTCGCCTCATCGGAGCATGACGCTTGGCACTCAGCCAGCTCACATGAATTTGTGGCCAATTTATCATTTCGTAAAATTCCGAAACAGACTATGCGCATAATGAAGCAACAAGCTGGCTACAAATATCTATAAATGTTTGCATATTTATCAAATGCTGCAGCGGCAACGCGTGGAGGCGTCATATCCAACGAAGTGCCTAGCAAAACAGAAAGACCAAGACAAAGTCACAAAACTAATCACGTGCAGCGACAGCCATACAGTGTGATAATACATACAAGTATTCTCGTATAATTAGCCCCCCGCCAACTGGACAAGTCAGCACATTTGCAGCAATCATTTTTCATTTTTACATAAACAAACTGTTTACATACGATTAAGCTTTTTTTCTATTTATAATTTCCTTAATTCAAGCCAAATGAAGCCCCATTGTTGGCGCAACTATTGAGCTGACGCATCGGCCTTGTGGAAATATCCATGCATATTTATGAATATGTATAGATAGCTTAACAAAAGATATCAGCGACATATTGTTTGGTTCCAACTTTCAACTTGTTTGCCGCCCATCGCCGCAAACGGAAGGAAGTATCTAATTTTGTGTTCCATGTCTTCGGCCATTTAGCTATCAAGCTCTAAGCACTGCAATATTGTGCGAAACCTTTTATTAACGCGGTCCGGTCCCATAACAAACTGCAACGTGACAGCTGCACAGCCATTCATCATCACTCATACGCCCCATGTACACAAATTGTTGTTGTAAATGTCGTTTCGTCGCTTCGCCTTGACTGCCGACAAATGTGCAAACGATCGCTTTGTTTGCCAAACATACTGAGATCGTGGAATGCAGCATCAATAAGACTACAGGTCGCTATTTGAAATACGGCGCTGTTGTTGTGCTATGCCTCTGCGATCGTTAGCACGACAAATTAAAAGCATTAACACTTGCAAAATTGGCATTGACCACTTGCTGAGCCATGAGCGAAGACAACATTTTGCTCCTTAAATTTAATTATAATTATTGGCAGAACGAAGCAAAATACTACACAGCTTCAACTACCTAACAACTCGTACTTTGAATGTGCATAGCTCTTCGATTAAGTCAAGGGCGAATATTTTAGTAATCTACCTATAAAGGTTCAATTATTTAGTTGTTCCAATCTTTATCTTAAATTGCTCTCTTTTTGTATGCTGTACCACAAGGCTAAACGGGTATACTACTAATGTAGCTTATTGCGAGTCGATATAACCATGTCCGTCCTCCTGTATTAGCGCAATGATATCAGCATGTATAACAGATAGAACAAGAAAGAATACACAAGTCGAGCGGGCTCAACTCTTAAATACCCTGTCCTACCCAAAAAAAAAAAATTATATATATATTAATTAATTTAATTAAATATAAAATATTCAACACATGCATACATAAGACATAAGTGTTTATGTTATGTTTATGTCATTATCAGAATCGCGTCTATGCGTGCTTGTATGCAGTAAAAAAAATAAGCCAAAGCAGCAACCCCTGCCGGCAGAGCTTGGACAGAGATTATGTTTATGGCTATAACTTTCTTCATAATTAACCTATCAGGATGAAACTTGTAACACAGACACATAATCATTATATGGATGTAGTTGCAGGAATTTCCAGGAAATACGGGAGTTACGGGTATTATGGGAAAAACTCTAATTGCGGGGGAGTGGGGGGTGCATCAGAAAAAAACACAAACTCGTCCTTTCTCGGACTTAGGAGAATCTGGATACCGAGTTTGGTTATTCTTGCTCTTGTACTTCCTCAGATCTTTGCGTTCATACAGACGGACAGATGGACATGGCTATATCAACTCGGCTTGTTACCCTGGTCAAGAATATATACACTTTGTGGGGTCTGCCACGCCTCCTTCTCCCTGTTACATACATTCGCACAAAACTAGTATAGCCTTTCACCCTTTGGGTACAAGCTATAAATATTCCACAAATATTAAAGAAAGATAAAATGAAAAACAATCTATTGTATGCTGAAAAGAATATAGAAAATGTTTCCTTGCTTCAGCAAAATATTAAATTATTTAATATACACGTAATGTTCTATTTTATTACTCAAAAATGAAACTGAGTTCAGTTCAGTTTTAATATTTTTAGAAACCTTACTACTTTTCTTTTTGCACATTTTAAGTTTATTACGATGATAAATAACTAATTAGCAAATTACATTATCCACATGATTTTAGGAGATGGTAATTTTACGTTTGTATTTGTTTTTTTTTTTTTAATTCCACTCTTTTGCCATCATTTGCAAATGCAGTAAAGAATCAGATATTTTTAAAACATTGTAGCATTATCTAACATCTTCGTATAGGTGGTGTAAGCTCAGAAGTTTTGCTTCAAAAATAATGAAATTCATCATTTACTCACACAGTAATACTAGCTTATGAAATTGAAATGTAAAATCACTTCATATCCAAAACATCGTACTCGCATCTGGACTCTGCTCAACGATCATTTCATCTCATCTCATAAAAGAAATAAAACAAGCCAACTCTGATTAAGTTCAATGCACAGAACTGTTGCTAGCCAGCCAAGCTGTCTGGGAGCATGCATAAATTTCGAGCACGCGCGCTATTAAAATAATTAAAATTCAAACCTGTTTCATTAAAAATACTAAGTATATATATACTATACATACTATATAATGATAAAATTGAATAAAGCTTTAACAAGATTTGAAAATAAAAAACAACTACTTAATAATGGCCACTCAGTCCTATGGACGAAGCAACGCTTGTGCTTCGATATGTTTAGCTTCAATTTAAATGAATGCATATTTATATATAGATATATATTTTTTGTATTTGTTTTTGTTTTTATTACCCGACATAGCCCGCCAGATTGTTGGCAGCACTGAGGCACGCGAAGCTGACGACGCACAGCAACAAACTGCACACGATTTTTTTAGAGCTCATCTTTGTACAGATTTTCCGGCACTTGGCAATTAGCCTTAGCAGCAGTATTTGCAATTTTTATACTGTATTATTATGTATTAAAATATGCAACACAACAATTGAATGGAACAGCTGGTGGTACTGTATTTTTTTTTTTCTCTATACAAGTAATTTAATAATTCCAATCGGCGGTTTTTCCAGATGGATTGTTGCTGGCACTTGAGAAATTATGCAATATATTTTTTATTTATGTATACAAACTGTTGACTTTGAAATATAGTATGTAATTTATTTTATTCAATTTATTCACTCTTTCATCGAAACTCACGCCGTACGGGATGGACCCGTGTTGATCGCTTTCGATTTGGCCCAAGACTGGCGAGTCGTTCAACACTTGGCTTAGAAAGAAGACGCTACCAAAATCAAAAAATTTGTTTCGGACAGCTTATTGTTTAGAAAAGTAAGTGTCAAGGTCAGGTGCGGAGCGACTAGTTTCGGCAACTCGACGCGATTCGAACTCGGTGATTTGTTTTCTATTTTTTGTGGATTCGGCTCTCGTCGGGCAATGCTCATCAAGGGAGATGTTGGGGGAACACTTTTAAATCGTTTGTTGCTTGGCGATCGCAGAACGGGCAATATTCAAATTTATATGTATTATCAAGTTCTAAACACACTATTTAGCATAAACTGCCTATTAAGTTCAAAAAGTAAAAGGCAGCACACGTGATTCGGGTTATGTGGAATTATTTAAACATTCATTGGCTTCAAATGTTTGATTCGATTGATAATGAACTTTTTTTTGGGAATATTACGCGCTTTTTTTGCTGTTAGTTTGAAAACCAGTATTTTTGATCACTTTGGTAAAGTACATATGTATAGTATGTATGTATAAGTAAAAATTGTATCAAACACTTTGGAGTTTATGCGTTATTTTTCTGGTTTATTATTTATCCATTCGTTTGCATCCGCGTATCGCACAGCTTAAATTGATTCTGAAGCCGTTACTTGTTATTTTTCTGGTTTTTATAGAAGAATTTGGCTCATGATTTGGATTTTGTCTTCCTAATGTCACGGACTGACTTGAAGAGCCGACGGCTGTGTATTTAATGAGGCAAATTTAGCTTGAATCGGTGAGGTATTTAATTAATATGATGCGTATATGTACATACATATGTATGTATGTATGTATGTATGCATAGTATATCGAGAGTTGGCTGTGATTCTGACAAGAGCGCAGAACTTTCGGTTTTAGCAATTGGCCAAGGTCATGATAGCCTCTTCAAGCGTTAAATGCTGACCATAAATATGCCAAAAAGCATTAGGCGGAAGTGTTCGGTTAAACAATATTATTTGCAGGTTTTTAACCCACTCAAATCGAGAGCACTTATTGTCCATTACAGTTACCACGCACACGTAATCGATTCAAGTTTGTGGTAAAACACGCCGAGAAGGGGGGTTCGATGTTGTTAGTGTTGAAAACTGTTTTATGCGTCGCTTTGAACAAGCAGAGCAGCTGGTAGTACCATTGAAGTCCAAATCTAAAGATCGAGTTCATTAAAACGTTAAATGGAAGCATGGCCCATCTTAAAAGCAAAAGTTTGAATAACAGCTACACAGCTACTATGTACAAGTATAATGTTCAATCGTCATTTGTGAACCTGAGCAGCGCGCATCAGCGACACATTTGTATTGATTTGTTTATTTTTTTTTGTGGTTTTTATTGGGCCTCTTTGGCAGCTTCTTCGGTGGCATCGCTCCGGGCACTTCCGGTTGACCGACGCGTCGGTCTATCGTCAAAACGAATCGTAGACGTAGTACTATATGTAGAAGAACAAATGATTCTGGCAATCATCACTCGTGGTTTAAACTATTAAAATATCAATGTTATATTTCCGGTGATCCAAAACTCGTTTAGTCGAAAGCCACAAATTTGCATATGAAATGTATTTTAGCCGACTAATATCTGCATCTACTCGTATGTGCATGCTTAATGGGCATGTCAGACAGGTTACTAGCTATACTATACATACCCCTAGGTTCAAACGGAGGCGGTTCTAAATCCATTTAACGTGCCATCGATTCTCACTTGCCAATGGGGCATTCAACTTTCGGCCAGCTTCAAAGCGAGCTCGACTGTTTCATAATTCAAATCTAATAAACATCGCAGTTTACATATTTGTTTCTTTTTTTTTAGTTTGTTGATTTCTCATCGTTTCTCATCGTGTGCCTGTTGTTTTTTGAGCTTTTGTGCGATTGGCGCGTAATTAACATAAGAAAACCCCTGAGCCAAAGATGCGTGCGACCTTAACCATGAAATCTCGAAGATCACGGCGTCACGCTGATCTTTTAATCTGCGCTCTGATAATAGAGTGTTTATGACTAGAGCGGCCTAATGGAGATATCGCATGTAACAATTGGAGAACAATAATTATAAATTACGAGGGGAATGCACTTCGTGCGTAAATACACAAAAAAAAAACACAATTTTTCTTAATACCTATAGATCTACCATATGTTCTGCTTTGTTACATTTTAAACATTATTTTATTACTTCAATTTTATTGTAAACCATATTTATGTGACTTTTATACATCCCATAATTTATTTTATACATCATTTAAATCGTTGAATAATGGTATTTAAAAAAAATCATTATATTTTTGTTTTGTAACTTAAACTCACAAAACATACTCAAGTGGGAATAAATCTTAAAATTATAAAAAATTCCACAAAAACAATGGAATTATTGTAATGTACAAAAAATTAAAACTGCAATAAACAAGAGAGATTGCTACAGTCGAGCAGGCGCGACTGCAAAATACCCTGCACCCCAACAAATTTCATAGCAGAAGCAAATATTAGAAGAAAATCGAACTTGATGCTGCAGTTTGTGGATATATTAAGGGACGTACTAACTTTTCTTAGGATCAACCGATTTTAAATTTGAATTTTTGCCATTATTGGCAGTATTAGAAAATAAAAAAATTAAATTAACTCGTATTGCCTAGAGATTCGGAGAGTCTATATACACACCAAGTTTGGTCTATGTTCGCACAGCCATTTCCGAAATCCAGGCGTTTATCCAAACAGACGGACGGACATATCTAGATCGATTTCTTGCTGGTTAAGAAGATATGCATTTTATGGGGTCGGGTTTAACCCTCAATTAGGCACTTGACAGCTTTATAATTATGCTGCTTTTAGAATTGTATGATTGATGGATATTTTTGCTTAATAGAAACAACAACTCTTCTTTGTTTAGACAAATGCCTTTGAGTTTTTCTCTAAATTAAAATTTAAAGCAGTGGATGGTGAATCTTCTATACTTCAACTTAAATATACACCAAACATCCCTATATGCACAGATTTTTATGAAAATGCAGACTATATTGTGCATATATGTATAAGTACTACTGCTTTTAGTATCGTAATAAAAAAGTTACTTGTATTCTACAGTTAAATTGGGTATTATAAAAATTTATATCAAGTTTACGATATCTTAGTAAACATGAAAAACCAACGTTTTAAAAGCGATATCAGAATGTTATCATAATTTTCAAATAATATATCCAATTTTCGTTGCTTATGAAAAACTTAGTCTATATATCACATCAAGTTTTGTGACCCTGGCTTTTAAGGTTTAAAAGTTTATATGAACGGACGAACTCATGGATATATCTACATTAAACCTGGAGTCTACCAATCCTCAATTTGTCTATCACATACAACTTGGCCCCTTTAGGTACAAGGTAAAAACAAAATGGAAATATAAATAATTTAGAAGTAAGCAGATTGAACTCCAACAAACCATTTTCGTTATGTCCCTTCAAAAGTTTGGAGTCTTAACTTTAGACCAATATCAGAACTATACGCGAATTTACTTTTTTGACGATTTTATTTTGAAATATATGAGTACTCAATAGTTGCAAATGATTCAAAATATTTCTACTTTTTTGCTCTGGTTTTGCTAGGTTTTCAAAATGTTTTTCTCTAAGTGTAGCATCTGAGAACTGTTGTTTTCATTTCCATTTATTGAGGCAGGTTCCGGGAATCAGAATCATTTCCTTGTTTTTTTGCTTTTTGGTCATAATTGTTGGAATTTTGTTAATTTGTTTATCATTTTTAGGTTACACTACGTCTCGTCATCAAATACGCCCACGCTTAAGGAATCAACTGAAATAGGCAACTGGAAATGCTTTCATGCTTGTCATGTCTGCGTTCCGTTGGAAAAGTTTCTCCCTTTATTTTTGCCAGCATGCTAATGACATAATGTGCATACTTCAGAACCGCCCCCGACTATAAAGGAGGGGTGAGGACCAAGTCTGGCGGCTTGCGTGTTTTCGCTATGCAAAGAGACATAAAAAAGCAAGGAACAATAACTGGGTATTATGTAGACATTGCCAGACGAATATATGTATATGGCAGTCAGTGTGTCAGGAAGTTGACTAAAAGACCGTTAAATGAAAATCAACACGAACCGAGTTTTGTATAAATCAACTGGTTGCGTTGTGGCAACTGCCAGTGCCAGTCCAGGCACACACTTGGACATACATATAGTACTATATACACGTACGTACATATATTCATGTTTGTCCACCCACTTTTGACTCTTGCGTTGACATGACGCTGCCGGCAAAAAAATTTAATCGAGACGCGGGCGCAGCACCATCAAAAATCCTCTTGCGCTATGCACTGCTCTGTAAAACGCTTCAAGGATTGCTCTGATCCTATGGCCTAACCCTTTACCCCATGCCAAGTCCATGGCTGCACCACACGCTAACATGGATGAGCGCTTGTTTATTTGCATAGCTCCCACAATTCTATATCCCTGAATAGGTTAAGGTGCTTCATTTTATATTCTACAATACATATTGGGATATATCGTTAATTTTATAGTACTGCCCCAATTGCAGAGAGCTTGGTTTTTAGGAAATTAATTTATAATATTAATATAACAAGATATTTTGTATATTGACAAAATTAAAAAATCGCACTTCTTTTAATTACTTTTTATAATACTATAATACATACTATATTATGATATTTGTATTATTAATACTATAACAATATATGTATTATGTGTATTGATTCATGGCTGTATGTAGTAAAAATCTATTTATTCAGCATCACGTCCCTTCATCATCGATATCTTTATCTTTGATTCAATAAAAAATCAAGCTTAGTAGAATCAATTTTTCCTTTATTATGATATTGAAATCAAATTTGGTATTCATTTGTTTTTTAATGCTAGCAACCAACTACTCTACCCCGGAGCCGGTTTCGGTATTATTGTAATTGAATAGGCTTAATAAATTTTTACTTTATAAGTAACCTGTGTTCCAATAGATAATAATGTTTCATAGATAAACTAAATAACATCTTTTTACTGGGTCTCCGCATTTAACATTTTTGTTTGTGGCTCAATTTAATGAGGAATTATGAAACAAAATTGTCGTTTTTTGCACTTTACTTGAAGGTGAACCAAAGGTGGGATCTTTTGCTTTACGTTATTTATTAAATTAATTTCACTTTATGTTTTTGCTATCGGATATTTTTTTGATTTTTACGAAATTAATAATTATATATATGTATATATTTTATTTATTTTATATGTATATATTTTATAATAATAATTTGGCAAATCAAACGCTTATGCAAAAAAAAAATGGCTTGGGAGTTAGAAAGTAAAGAAAATTGGGAGTTTATTTTTTTTTAAAGTTAAATTTTAAAATCAATATCAAAATTATTATAACACGCCATATGAGTAGAATTTCTTCTTGATCTGTATAAGTATAACTTCATCTTGATCAATAATTATGATTAATATCGATTGGGCTATATTTAGAAAACACTTAAGTACATACACTTCGGCACATACTCCAGACGGTTGTTTTTTTGCTTCTCAAAATTAATTTTACAGATTAAAAACGAATACTCAACGTTGGGGAAGCATGTACATACTTGTTGTGATTCATTATTGTGGGCTTATCAAATCAGAACTGTGCCTATTTAAGTAGAGGGCATAGTACTTGATGTATGCGCTTTTGGACGCCATCCTCAGAGGCACACCCCGCACCCTAGACAACGACAGCACGCCGTCCAACTTGTCTGACGTTTAGCATATTTGCGTTTTGTGGCAGTCGTCCGGATTCCAAATCCAATTCCGTATTACATGCTACGGTGCCCAACTTATTAAACGTTGTCGCTGTCCCATTTACCGAATGCGAACTCTTTTTCAGGCGCAACGCCCACGCGAATGGCCCACGCCCCCGACATGTTGTGCCACTTTTTGTACGCCAGGACGACCCTTCTCATAATTTTCCCCTCCAGCTGTGCAACTGGCGGCCCATTGTTGATAAAAACTCTTGGTGCCAGTGGCATTTGCTCGCAAAATGGAAGTCAAGCCCAAGCGACGCGCACCTATGCGCCTGGGAATCGTCGTCGTCGAACAATTACTGCAAATCGAATTCCAGGTAAGGCTCAGCAAGCGGTGGCTCTGCTCTCAGGACTTGACTGTCAATTGGACTAGTTTCAGTTAATTTTATTTATTTGTTTTTTCCTCATATGATATGTACGTTTGAAACTAAATTTCTAAGTGCTAAAATCTTCCTGTTTTTTGTTATTTTTTTATTTAACGCGCATCATGCAATCCCTACAACCGAAACGCGCGAATCCCAAGAACAAGACTCGAGATGCGCAGAAGGCAACTCTAATGGCGATGGCAGTCCCGCCTCGTAAGCTCATAATTCCTCGCCCGGATGTCCTGCACACATACATGGAGCACCGTCAAATCAATCAATATTTGGAGTATATTGCCAATCGATACTCACACTTTGTCAAACTCTATACCCTCGGGTTATCTTTCGAGCGTCGCGAGGTGCGCGCTCTCGAGATCAACTGGATGAACTCGGACAATGTGGAGCTGCCACCACAGCTCCGTATGAAATCGGCACCAGCGTTGGAGCGACCCTTCCAGCCAGGCGATGGTCCCTCTAAGGGACCGCTTATCAACCTGTCCGATCAGGGCCGCAACATTGTTTTCATTGAGGCGGGAACGCACGCACGGGAATGGATCACCATAACAACGGCCCTAAACTGCATCTATCAACTAGCAGAGCGTTATACCCGCAACATTGAAGTGCTGCGCAAGCTACGCTTCTTCGTAGTGCCGGTCGTCAATCCCGATGGCTATGAGTACTCGCGTACCAAGGTAAGCATCAATATACAATATATAACATTTAAGAATAGATGTGGAACATAGTATTTTTATAGCCTGTACCCAAAGAGTGAAAGGCTATACTAGTTTTGGGCGAATGTATGTAACAGGGAGAAGGAGGCGTGGCAGACCCCACAAAGTATATATATTCTTGATCAGGGGGACAAGCCGAGTCGATATAGCCATGTCCGTCTGTCCGTCCGTCTGTATGAGCGCAAGGATCTCAGAAGGTACAAGAGCTAGAGTGACCAAACTTGGTATCCAGGTTCCCCTGAGCACTAGGCAGGTCAATTTAACTAATTTAATTTAATTAATTCATTCAATTTTTTTTAATAATTCCATTTTTTATATATTTATATATATTTATATTTCCACCCGAAAGGTAATAATTGTATATAAGCTTTGTGCAAATATATGTAAAAGGCAGAACAAATACCTGATCCCATAACGAGAAATAAATATGAATAGATACATACATAAGTGTCTTTGACCGTCTGTCGTGAGTTTTGGAAACATTTCTGGGCTATACAAGTTTATTTTATTTATTGAAGTTATTTTGGATAGACGGTATTTCATTTATTATTTATAATGATTTCGCCTTTAGAATCGCAACTGGCGCAAAAATCGAAGACCTCACAAACAAACAAAATTCGTAGGCACCGACTGTAATCGCAATTACGATATCTTCTGGGACTCCGGACCGTCGAAAATAAATCGTAATACGTACAAGGGGGAGAGACCTTTCTCTGAGCCCGAAACGCGTGCGATGCGTAATATTCTGGATCGAGTTGAGCCGAATTTGTTGTTCTTCCTGTCGCTACATTCCTACGGCCAATCCATTATGTATCCATGGGGCTATTCCAGGTGTGTACTCTCTGCCCCTAATACAAAACATGCAGACTTAAAGGTTTCCTGATGCCCACAGAGAATCTACGCACTATTGGCGCGACCTGCACTCGCTGGCCAACTCCGGTAGAACTGCCATCAAGTCGTACAACGGACGGGAGTATCGTACTGGCAGCATTTCTTGCCTCAATAAACGAACCATAGCTGGCTCCATTGTAGATTATGTCTATGGTGTGCTTAGAGCGCCTATGGCTCTTGTAATGGAGCTACCGTCGCGCGATCTGGGCTTCCAACCTCCCGTTGAGATGGTCAGCCAGATAGGTCACGAAAGCTGGTTCGGTATACGAGAGATGTGCAAACGTGCTTACGATCTGCGCTTAATCATCAAGCGTGAACTGGAACCGAAGATGCCGCTGCCTCCTATTCCACCCCCGCCGGCGCCTCGTCTGCGTAAGTCGGGTGGTGAGGATACACCAAGCATGCAAAGCAAACACGAAACAAAAATAGATTCCGCTACCCAATCCATAGAGGCCAAGGACGAGACTAGTACGGCGAAGAAAAAGACTACTCCAAAGAAAGGGAAAAAGCGAATCAAGCGTTATGCCCACGAGAATATACTGGAGATTCAGAGGCGTGGCAATATGCTTGCTAAGCGCTCCAGCAAAATGGGAGCTCCTCTAATCAAACGAGCGCTCACAGCCTCACCACCAGCTGCATTGCGCTCCAAAGGTGGCTGCGGGGATGGACCGGTCTTTACGGGCAGACCCAAGACAATGCCTTATTTTCCACCATCACTAAAATCCAACCTGCCGCTAGGCTTGTTTTTCTAAAGGTGCCGAAGGAAATTGTGTTATGGATGTTAATGTGGAGTCTTGGTGTGTTCTTCTAGCTGCTTTTGTATATGGCGTGTTTAAAATAAATACGTACTCAATCTATTTTGGGGGTTGGTCCCAAAATGCTCTCGCTTTGGGTATTTAATTCGCCTTCTTATGTGATTTTAAATTTAAGGTGGTTATTCTAGATGATAAAACAACTAGTAACGAGTTCAACGGTGTGGGATATTAGCGAATGTAACTCATTTGGCCTCAAAGGAAGGCGCGCGCGGAGCAGCAAATTTCACACGCAGTCTTTCATACTCTTTGCGATCCTATAAGAACGAATACGAAAAGAAATGTTAAAAGAGCTCTTGAGACAGAAAACATTTAAGTTTTTCTTACCTGCTCGTTAACCGAAGGACGTAGCTGTTTCAGAGCCTCTTCAAAATGGTGATTCCGCACGCACAGGCTATCCAATTGAGCATCGGGCTCGCTCAAGGATTGTCGCAGCGCAAACATGGATGCCTGTTTCACTAAGCCAGCCAAATCGGCACCAGTATAGCCTTCCGTTCGGGCTGCTATTATGTTTAGATCGACATCGTCTGCCAATAAGGGACGCTTGCCATTCTGTACATAAATTGATTACAATATCGGTAAGAGTAATGATTGAATAAGGTATCATTTAGCAAAATATCTACCTTTGTAGTGGCTTTTAGTATCTCAACGCGTTCTTCCTTCTTCGGCAAGCCCACATAAAGTATGGTATCTAAACGACCCGGACGTAAAATAGCCGGATCAATTATATCCGGACGATTTGTAGCTGCAAGAATGTAAACACCCTTACGATCCTCCACGCCATCCATCTCAGTAAGCAACTGATTGACAATACGAGTGCCCGAGCTACCAGAACCGTTATCAGAACGCTTGGGGCACAGTGAATCGAACTCGTCAAAAAATATGACACAAGGTGCTGAATTACGGGCACGTTGGAAGCAAGCTCGCACAGCACGTTCACTTTCGCCCACATACATATTCATCAATTCCGGACCCTTGACTGATATAAAATTAATACCTGCCTCGTTGGCAATAGCCTTGGCCAGTAATGTTTTGCCGCAACCAGGCGGACCACACAGAAGCACGCCCGATGGGGCTGTGAGCCCCAGCTGAGCCAATTTCTCTGGAAACTTGACAGGAGCAAGCACCGCGAGCTTCAACTCATCGCGGATGTCTTGCAAAGAACCAATATCATCCCATGTGATATCCGGCACGGTTATGAAACCCTCACGTTTCGCTGACGGCTGCAAGACCTTAATAGCGTCAATAAAATCTTCGAGAGTCAAGCAGAAATTTGGATCAGAAAATTCCTCTGGTGGATTATCTAAGAAGTTTGTCAATTCGACTAGTGTTGGCTCATAGAATTCATCTTCCGGAAGTTGTTTCTGCCTAGACTGTTGAGCTGTGGACTTCTCTTCGACCTGCGGGTCGACCTCCATTATTGTCTCTTTGCCAGTTTTTTCTTTAGCAGGTTGGTCGGCATCAGACTTATCACCAGCGGCTTCAACCTCCACCTTTTCAATCGTTTTTTCCTCGGTCTTGTCTGCACTCGACGGCTTATCAGTGGCCTCAGTTGCCTCTTTGCCCGCTACACTCTCATTCTCATCGTCGTCAAGAGTGACTGTCGTCATATTCTGCTCGTTGGCAGCATGTAACTCCCGAAACTTTTTCATAGACCTTCGTTTGACGGCAATGGCAGCAGCACGAGAGACCAAGGCCAAGAGATCAGCGCCCACGTAGCCGGGTGTCAATTCGGCAACCTTATCATAGTTGAATTTTGAGTCAATCGTCAAACCCTCACATTGTATACGCAAAATCTCGCGACGCTCTTTACGTGTTGGTATGTGTATGGCGATCTCATGATCAAAACGTCCAATGCGACGCAGTCCTGGATCAAGATTATCAGGGCGCGTGGTGGCTGCAATCACCAAAACCGACTGTCCGAATTCGGTCGTCTTCAAATTATCCAGGCTGCTAATTAACTGTGAGACAATCCGACGTTCCATGTCCTTAGAAGCCCACTGACGATTGCCGCCAATAGCATCAATCTCATCGATAAAGAGCACGCATGGGGAATTATCAACAGCCTGATCGAAAACATCGCGTATGCGTTCTTCAGACTCGCCGGATATTCCCGCAATTAGCTCAGTAGCAGGCACCTCAAGCAGCGGCAGTTTAAGTTGCTGTTCAAATTAGCGTAATGAATTAATGTAGCCATCTTACAATCATACATCTGACTGACTTACCCCGGCTACGGCACGTGCCAAAAATGTTTTACCGCAACCTGGTGGTCCATGTAGCAGTAGACCGCGTGAGGGCAACAGACCCAGTTGGAAATAGAATTCGGGCGATTTTATGTGTATGAGCATCTCGCAAAGTTCTTTTAGTGTACTATCCATTCCGCCTATATCGCGGAAACTTTCGCTCATTTGAAGCACCTCCAGTTCCTTTTTGTATTTACGTACCGAGCGCATTGGCATCCGATCATTATATTCTCGCATATTATACGCTTGTGGAATCTCGTGCCTCTTGTTCCGAGCACAATCCCTGATGTCGAACCTGTTGTTGTTGCCAGGCACCTTGTCTGTATACAAAGAATATTCTCATTATTTAGAGCTTAATGGTTTGTGACGATTAACTCACTTTTCTTTGTGTTCGTTGCTGCGGGAACAGAGGTGGGAGTGCTTCCGATATTTTCTTTACGTGGTGATTGGGACATGCCTTGATTTGCAGCCATTTTTGATTTTTTCACACCCGAATGTGGGGGCGAATCCAATAAGCGCTTCAGCGTATTTGAACTGGAATTTTCCCCACCAGCCGAGGCACCATTCGATGTGCTTTTAGGTGAAGCGTCATCGTCCTCGTCACCGCTAGATATGTCAATAGGCTCAGACGAAGGCTTTGGATTTGAGAAGGGTGTCCTTTGAGCATACAGACTGTTCATCATGTTACTCATTATGTTGTTGCTAGGTGTTTCGTCGTCCTCTGAGAGCGAATCCTCGTCCGATGTAGTAGGCTTATTTACTCCGTAGCTCTGCGAAACAATTTCAAATGCTGATATGGCATGATAATTAAGTAATGGAATAAAAAAGTTTTGCATCGCTGCCTACCTTGTTGTACAAGTTGACGAAATGGAACAAATTTACGACGATAATATTCTGGATATTTGCGCATCAACTCTCTGGTCATTAATTTAATATCCAAGTAGGTTTCATCAACATGCTCTTCAAGATACTGCAAGACAAAATTGAACAGGAGTCAAATGTGGACCGAGAGTCGCACTTAACCTTGTTTTCCTACTATTTTTTTCTATATTGTTTTTTCTGAGTATTGCCTGCAAATGCAGTTGGTGCTGCTGTCCCGCCCGCCGGTTACAGCCACGTTAGTATACTATATTTACCTGCTTGACACGGTTGATTAAATGATGGTCGTGTAGCAGCGGTTTGACTTTCTTCATATTCTGAATGAATCAAATATGAATAAAACTATAACCCATACGAGAATATTTCACTGTACCAATTTACCGCGACAATCGACGCCGACGCCTTTACATGCAATGAAGTTGGCTGCACGTTTTCGTACAGTGCTGTGAAATTGCGAAATGCGCAAAGCAGTGTTGTCGTGCTGCTGCCTGATTCGATGTGCAAAATATTGCAGGCAAGCAGAAAAAATGCGCGCCAATTTAAATCTCAGAATATTACTTTCCCGTTCCCGATTGAGTGTATTAAATCCATCTGTTCCAACTAACCTGCACTAAACTATGGTTCCATGTTGACGTTTCTTGGCAACGAGTCTTAGATTTGTAATGTTTTTTATTTATTTTTTGAAGCTCCTCTGCGAAGTTAAATCAACCACAGACCCTAAGCCAAAAATTAATATATTTAATTAATTTAATATATCTTTCACAGATGCTCTATCGTAGATTAATTCTGGAATATTGCAACTGTCAGTTCAGGAAATGATTTCAACATGCCCTCGGCTAGATCCCATTTAGCAAGCAACGTATATAAATACATATGTATGTACGTACATTTGTATATTCGGAGAATAGTTTAATTTCTTTCGGCGTTATATTTTATTTGCGTAGTACATACATATAATTGAACTTACAGGAATTCCAAAATGTCATTAAATAGTAGAGCTTTGATTATATTTTCGGCGACTTTCAGTTTGTCTAGTTTGATTTTAAATGACATTAATCAACGTATTTTTACATAAATATGTATGTATATTTCGATTTCTCATTTTTTGATTTATTTGCGTTTTGTGCGTTGAACAAAACCTTCCTTAAACGTCTATAAACTATATAACTTAAATAAAAATGTTGTGTATACTTATAAATACACCATATGCATAAAGTCTTCAATAAAAGTAAGAATAAATACAAATTGCTCGAAACGGAATGAGGTTATGAATGAGCTTTGTAGCAACCAATTCGCAGCTGCATCAATTCAGAGTAATATATAAGCAATCAGTGTAAATTAAAGCAAGCTTTCGTGTATATGTGAATGGGAACAAGCCCGGAAGGCACTACGAGTGATTGGTTAAAGGTCTAACATAGAGAGGTAGGGGTAATAGGTAATAGGCAATAGGAAAAGGAATTTAAATAAAATTCGAAATAAAATATATCAGTCGGTTTTTTCTTTTTAGTTTTAAAGAGAACGACGCTATTAAACAAAATGAGTGTTAGATGCAGTCGCTGTTGGATTGGAAGCGCTTCTTCCGCCAACGCCGCTATGAATCAAAGTAACTTCTTTTCCGCCACTGGCGAGGAATGCGCTTTAATGGCAGCGTCTTTGGGTTGTGCATTAACTACGGCATTGGCAGTGGTGGCATTAGACTCCTGGATCGTGCGACGCTGGGCCTGCGATGCGGAACCACGACGTGCATGTGGTGCAAAGCTTAGAGTAGGCGTCGCCGTGTTGTTGGAAACGTGGCCACTGTTGGTTCCTATGCCGCTCACCATGGACTGGTGTGGGCTGAAGAAATTCGAGGCGACCGCATGGGTGTGGGTGCATAGATTCGTGTCTGAGGCAAACATTTGAATGGAGGACTTTGTGGTAATAGGAGCGTCTAGCCAATAGCGATGCGCCATCTCGAAAACTGAATCTTTCGCCTTAACAATTTGATAAAGCAGCGCATCGAGCAGTGTACCAGGCGTGTCGAACTCATTGGGAACAATGCCCTCGACAGAGCTCTCGAAGTAGCTAAACATTGGAAACCAAATGCGCGTGCGGGTCGAATCGCTTTGCATTAGCGCCTGAAACAAAAAAAATAAATAATACCAATGAATAGTCTAAGGATTTCGTTTGCATATACTTACCCTATTATTAGCGAGCGTGTGATAGTAAAGGAACAGGCGAGATGTTATGTAGAAGGCCACAAACACATCGATTGAATAATGCTCATGTGCCGCCAGTATAAAGAAAATGCCAAACATATTCAGCAGCCAAGTGAGCGTGTGCAAAAAGTACAAATTGCGTGGAGTGTCTGCAATGAATGTGTCGATGCTATTAAAAAAAAAACAAATTCATTTGGAAATGAAGTTACGCACATTCTGTGATGAAAAAGTTCAGCAAAGTCAACGCCACAGTGTGTCCACTAAACATATAATCGCCACAGGTGCGAACGCCCTGAATAGACATGCCCAGACCGCTCCAGATTTTGTAGGCGCGCGTCATTCTAATCCATAAGGCACCCACCATGTCCACACTGCAAAACAATGATAACAATTTTATCAGTAAAATAACGATAGCCAAATTGAAAGGCCCTAACTACTTTTGCTTGTAAGATAGGCCTTAACTATCAAGTTTGATTCACTTTATAGTTAAAGTATTACAATTTGAACAGACAATATGTTTTAAAATCTGTGTTTCGGAACTGATCGTGAAATTTAATTGAGACCCTTAGAAAGAATTTCTTTAGCTTGGTATGACTCGATTTATGAATTTTTAATTGATATAGAAATAAATTAATTACATTGATTAATTAATCAAAAAGAATAAATGATGTAATATAAACGTAGATGCTGATAAGCTTAAATTCCTGTTTGAGAGACATTTTTAAACAGAAAAGGAGACAGCTCTAGAAAATAATTACTTTGTATAAATAAAAATGGGTGGCCATTGTTTTGAAAGTGTTAAGAGGATATACATAATCTATATACTTTTTAAAGACTGGTGTTTCTAAGCATATCACACTTCACCCAAAATTAATGAAACATCTTGTCTGAATGGAGTATATGGAAATTATTAGCTTTAGTAATTCCGATTGGAACTCACTTGGGATCATCGATGGCGAAATCCTTCTGATTGCACTGTAAATGCGTGCCCGGCACGCTTAACGAAGTAATCAGCATTGTCACACATCGCAATAGGAAAACCGTGCCCGCCAAGGCAAAGAAACGACGCAGCAATACCATCCGATATTTATGGAATATGAGAACCATAAGCCAAATGGTGAAAAGAAGCGAGCCGGTGATTTCGCACATGTTAAAAGCCCATGGTATGTGCGGGACATTGTCGAGGAATATGTCAGGCAGCGGTGGATAGCGTTTCATATCGGGGACACGTTCATGAACGATTACCATGACGAACGACGTTATCCAGGTGACAACGAATGAGTAGCCTGAAAATTGACAATAATTTAATACTCAGCTGTAATTGTTGGCGGATAGCATATAGCGGGGCTGAAGGGAGAGCTTTAATCTGATATCCGATGTATAGCCAAAACACATTTTTTTTGCTTAAAGCAAGCTGCCATACAAGACATGTGTGTAAACAATTGAAAATTGATGCACGCAAAATTACAACACTAACGCACAAAGTACAAACATGCATATGTACATACATACATATAATAGATATATGTACATATTATATATGTACATATATGTATGTTTCTTTGTATGTAATGCGCACGAGGGTTAGTGAGTGGCACGGCGAATCATTTACATATAGCCCTCAAAACATAAATATAAATAACAGTAGCTTGACGCAATAAAATTCTAACTACATTTTTAATGAGTCTGTGACGCATGCATAATATTGAACTTTGATATCCACTCTTAGATTTGTATTTTTTTGTTTGTTTGTTTTTTTTTCGGCGATAACGGCCTTAATCAGCTATCTATATTGTGTGGGTGATACAAAGAATTTTGCTTTAAAAAAAAAAGAAAAAAAAAACAACCGATAAGAAAACAGCAAACAATATTTTGGGGTTGTCTTATCAATCCGAGTATTCCCTACATATTTATGCACGATTACATTATTCAATACAAAATGGCAAGCAGTCCGCCCTATTTAACCTTGGTAATTGTTTCGCTCACCTAAACTAATTGCCGTTTTAAAATATTCCGGTGCTATAGAATTGTTTGAAAGGCGTCGTATATATTCAGCACAGTCGCTCACATAACTGGGACAATCCGGCGGACATGGGCACGTAGAAGCGGGTGGCGCAGTCAATGTAAGCGGCACAAACATGTTGGTGGAATTTGTATAGCCCGCCTGCGCTATCCCCAGGACCAGGGGACAAGTAGCATCCGGTGTGATATTAATTTTTGACTTCAGTTTCGAGACAGCCAGCCAGAACTTCTTCAGCTCACCAAAGCCCAAATTGTACCCCAATCTATAGCGTAGATCACGCACATCATCCTCACTGAGGGCCAGTAGCACTTCACCATCGATAGCTTCCAAGCGCAGGCAGCTTATAAGCGTAGGCGAAGTATGCTCCACATTGCTGGCCCAATTAACTACGTCTTCTACCACCCATTTATTCACATTATGGTATTCGATATGGGAAACGGGCACCGGCACTGGTGCATCCAATTTTGAATTGCGGTGCGTTTTCGCTTGACTTTGTGGCTCGTTGTCGGACTCATCTAATTGAGCGGTCTGCGTTTCGTCACTTTGAACTGCTTGCTGAGTCACTAGCTCCGAAATTTCACCGTCGCACATTTTAAAGCTTTCTTTTTTGTACAATTTTTTTTTCGTGATTATCAAAAAGAAAACAAAAATTTCCTACTTCTGTTCTTTTTTCTAAATTAAGTGCAACATTTCAAGCGGGTGCATGCAGCTGCATTGTGTCACTGCAGCGCATTATTTCACGTTTCATTTACTGCGCCTCCAACATTTGTTGTTAAAACGTTTAATTTAGCTAAACTCTGTAAATTTCAGCGACTACTAAGTTGCAGTGTGTTCAACGGAATGAGCGTGCGAGCTTGAAAGAGAGTGGGACCGCAGCCAAACAGCTGTTAGTCAATGGCTAGGCTGCCAACTCTAGATTGTACGATAACATCATCTATCGATAAACAATGGCGCGTATTGTACGTCGGGCTTCGGAGAATGCATGACAATAAAACAAATAGTACGCTTTTTTATATTTTACCACTGTTTTTATTCTTCATTGTTCTTTTATTTTTAATATAAAAATGGCATTTCTTTTCTAATATTAAGTTTAAATTACTAATGTAAAGTATGTGTGATCGCGGTAATTGAAAAATATATAATCCTTGTATATCAAGTGTGAAAAATATTTATAATGAACATGAAACGTCTCTTCTGCCAAGCGTATATATATGAAAGCGTTCAAGTAGACTTAATATATAACGTTTTTCTATCATCATTTCATTTTTGTTTTACATTTTTAATTTTTTTCTAAAGCAAATTATAATCATATTGTATAGTTGTTTTTCATTACTTTGCAGAATTTACATCAAAGGAAGAAACAATTAACAGACGATATTTTCTCTTATAAAGAAAATCAAAAGCTTTGCATAACTGTAAACATAAATTATTCCGTTTTTCACTCTTTGTGTTTGCACTTGTTAAAATTAATATGCAAAAATAAACTATGAAAAAATATTTCATGAGTAGTTAGTTCGTTTTTCATTATTTTTGTCGCTCTTGGTTCATCATTTTCAGTTGCTTTTCGCAAAACAATATACATATGTGTGTATGTATGCATTTAGTTTCAATACGTTTACATGATATCTTATGCTAGGTATCTTACATATATGTAACTACCAATTTGTCTGCTTTCCTATTTCTTTTTTCTTTCTTATTTTTGTTTATTAATATTTATATACGAAGCTACTGTTGAGGTTTCTTTGAATTGTGTATGATGTGTTGCACGTCCAGCGCAGAGAACGGCAGCACCTTTTCCAGCATTTGTTGTATATAGCCTGCTTGTGCACCGCTATATGCATTCCTATTTTATCTATACAGATACATATTTGTCATTTTTATTTAGAATTTTTGTTATATGAAAAACGTAAATGTAACAAGATTGTTGTTGCTTTTTTGCGCAAGCCGTTAAAGTATTCTCCCTTTGTTGATTTTCACCAATATATATATATGTATATATCTATGCATACAAGTCTAATTTTATGTAAACTATAACTGCTCCTTTAGTAATTCAAAAAATATATTAAACACAATGTAGTTTTTTTTGTTTTAGTTTAAATGAGGGCTATTATGTTGCTGTTGATGTCGGCCATAATATCGCCGCCACATAAGATCTTAGTGCTTTTTATTGAGGGAGTGGGGCCTCGCACAGCCTGACGCGTACATGTTGGCTTATGACAAATCTACAAAGTTACGGATAATCGTTATTAGTTATGGCAATTAAAGTTACAGAATTCAGGGTTACTTACAGCTAGGCGCAGCCTCATAACGACGCTGTATCTGATCATATGTGAATTTTACAAAGGCATCATATTGTTCGGCTAATTTGTTGGTCAGAACCGACTCGTACCTTTCGCGCAGTTGATCTTCGCGTTCTTTCATCATTCCTTCACATATAAGTTGTACCTGCCAAGGATCATGAAAGCAATTACTCATCTTTTTCCGAAATAGCAATTTCTAACATTTTGGCAACTTACCTGCTTGAATGTGAATAAAGCCTTCTCTGGATTACGCATCAGATTAGGTGGGCTGTCCGGTCGGTGAGGACTTTCAGGCCCCATTTCGGAGCCACTGGATTCCGAGTCTTGCATACGTTCCAGTGCGGCCGATGTGATGGGCAGCTGTTTGCGTTTGTGCAGTCTCTTGATTTCATTGCACAAGCTGATCGTCATTTTGTCTGCTTGTTGGATAATATATAATGATGATGCTTCAGAAATAATGGTCACAAATTAGGTTCATAAGCTCACCTGGCGACATCTTGACAAGTGAAGCCTCGGAAAAAGGACTGGGTTCACTGCTGTCTTTTGGGAACCGACTGCTAGGAGTGTGTGGAGCGCTAGCGGCGCCATCAGTGTTGCCGTTCCGGGATGGGGAGGAGCCGGTGCTACCCGATTGCCCAAAGGGATTGCAACGGCGACGTTTATTTGGTCGCTGGTTCAGAGACTCCCAGTCCAAGGCGCGTTTAAGTGTAGCACAGGCCATAGCAATGATTAATTATGTACCTAATATATTTATATGTATATATGGGTATATCCTAGTTGAATTGATTTGTGATTATTGCCACAGTTACTGGAAGCTTTGGCTGTAATTGAGAAGAGACGATTAATTAGTCTTGATGAGGGCAGACACCTTGCTATACAGTCACGACGCACTTTCCTGACTACCCCACACACAATGAAAATGAAAACTGGTTTTAAGGAAAACAGGATTCACTTGACTGACACACACACGTTCTGCCACACAACTCTAAAGAATGGTGCACCGATTTAGGGCCTCACAGCTGCCGTCTGCCTGCTGAGCCTGTCGTGGGAAAAGGGCGAAACGCTTCCAAGAAGAAAACGAAGAAGAGCAGTCGCGATGCGCAATTAAAGGGAGTGCTGGCTTGGCCTCAAGCTGACAATACAACTACCACCACTACTATATCGGAGGCAGAGTCAACCACACATGCATAGCAATGCATGCACAAACAGAGTAATGTAACCCAATGCCAAAACAACCACCACACCACTACTATTGCAGGACAACTGCGTATATCCTTCAACTAGCACACGCAACCATACACATACATAAAAGGCACAAGAAGCAGCAGCTGTACCAGCTGTTTTCACACTTATACGCACCGCAGGCGTTCACACAAGCACATATTGGTATCTTAATGCTGGCAATTTTTACCCAAAGCTGCACCGAGCCGTATAAAGTATACGTCGTATTTATGTGTTTTAATATGCACTATTAAACCGTCTTTCCGTTGATATTTTTCACCTTTTTTATAATTAATGATTAGCACTTTTCTGTACGTGCGTGACAACCACATACGATGCGGAGGCAGAGCAGAAGTCTGTTCGAAAGACAACAAATTGACTTTAGCTTATGGTTATGTGGTCATCTCGCTCACACTCATGCCTTTTTTACGGCAGTATACGCACACACTTGCAGCTTGTGAGTTGGAATTTTGATTTCATCAAATTTTAAAAATGGTCGAGGCGCATATCATTATCAGCAAGCCACGATGGAAAATATAGCAGAAAACTAATTAGTACACTAATTTTCTCACCGCTGCACTTACGTGATTGAATATGTTTGCGCCGCAATGGTTTTTTGTTAGCAGTGTCCGCACTAGTGCACCTCCTTTTTTTATTTACTTTTTATTACTTATAGTTGACTTGCACATAGACCGTATGTTCATTTGTAAAATTATATTGCTTATATTTGAGCAGTATTGGAGTACATATATTTCAAAGGCCACTGAAATGCACTACGGAGAATTGTTCGTGATTTCCTTTAATATTAAATTGAAAATGTCTCGCTTACGAAAAATGGACGACCGATGCGTGCGTGACGATGTCGTGAACAGAGAGGCAGTCTTGTGATGGCCGTTTTAGCAACGTTGTACAGAAGCGTCACTATCGGTGCATGTTGAGTTCACAAATCGGCCGCCATTTTACGCATCGAAGCAATCGGTATCGATAAGTGTAAGATTTGCGGATCCCTGGCAGACGGCTTGGACAACGACAACGCAACGACAAAGTAGGCAATAAAAGCGGTTGGCACCGAATAAGTGCACTTATTAACATCCATTCTTTTTACGGTTTTTACACCAGCAATTTTTTACGCGTTCTCGCCGTTTTATCAAGTGCAGCAGTATCTTGCCCAGTGCGTGCATATAAATACTAAATATTACGTATCAGTGCGGTAGGGGCCAAGAGCAAAGGCATAGAAAAAATAAAGATCTAAAAATATTTCTTAGTCGACGTGAAAGTAGCCGTGCTAGTAGTATCTTTTATTTTGCAAAACGCTGCCACAACCAATATTTTTTAATTGCGAAAATGGTATTGAAAGTATACGTCAGTAACCTGTCTGGAAACAAGGAGGTAAGAACATCATCAACATCAAAAAGATCGTGGGCGGGGCAGCTGAACAGCGTATTAAAGAGATTATTCGAGCAGCGGGTATCAGTGTCATGTTATTGGAATGTTTTTGACTCGTTCAGGCCGCAGATAATGAAGAATAGAGATACAAAAGAATGGTCAGTTGTTTATGGGTGGAAGTGGGGGGAATGGCGGACGCCTATGGAACTTTGCTGTGCATATTTAATTACGTACACACTTGCAAACATATGTATGTACATAGTATGTAGCATGTGCATTTCTCTTAAATATGCTTGAGTGAGTGCTTGTGTGTGTAAATGATGATGTAGTATGAACAACCATACATACATACATATGTATGTTCGAACAGGCGAAACGTCATCGCTGGTCTTGGCTCCCCAACAGAACGGAACAGCAAGTGGGTATTTTGATTGGCATTTTACAAGTGTATGTGTGTTTCTGTATGTATGCATGGTGGTGGTGGTGGCAAGAAGCAGCGCAACAACCTCAAACAAATACACTCTATCCATTTAAGCATATTTATTAGCTGTGTTGTGTTAAAGCGTCAAAGAATTCATTGATCGCAGTTTCGAAATGTGTGCATTTGTGTGTAGGGGTTACTGTGTGAGTGTGCAAATGAGTGTATGAATCACACATTTATTTGCATTCATATTTACATACATACATAAAAATGTGCTCATCTTAATCGTTGTATTTTCGAACAAAAACATAACGGTCAGTGTACAGAGCAACAATAAAAAAACTCGGAAACAAAGACCTAAGAAATACGAATGGAACTCGACCTAACTTCTTTGTTGTTATCGTTGTGTGTGTTTTTGTTCGGCGTGTGAGGTGTCAGTTCTAAAACTGTCTTTCAAATCAGGGAAAATATATAACAAGCACTATATCTCAAGATAATTACACACAAGCAATGAAATTTAATGGGACCGGGGCACGACTGTCTTCAGAACACAACCAAACATTTAATTAGCTTTTATCATGTCTCTCTCTCTCTCTCTCAATGCATAGTATGTACAGTGGCGGTAAAAAAAAATTGCTCTGCCATAAAAATTTGTTAGACAGTCATCGAATATTGTGCCCCAAATATTCCTTCAAAACAATTACACATACATACATATGTACATATGTTAAGTCATAATGATGTAGGAGTGTTTTCCTTGTAATGGAATGGCCCTAAACATTGAATGGAACTAAACGAGCAAGGAAGTTCGTAAATGGTTAAGGGATCAGACCACAACCCAATAGAGTATCCGACAGATTCTTAAAACAGTATTATTTATTACAACCACAGTGTGTCTGACTATACAAGTATGTGTGGTTTTGTATGCGTTTGTAAGTTTTGGGGCTTGCCGGCAATTTAGTAATTATATTGCTTTTACATTTCCCCTTTCCTAGGTAAAGAAACGCCAGCAGCGAGTGCTGATGATCTTGGATAGCAAGAACATCCAATATGATATTGTTGACATTGCCGAGCCCGGCAAGGAGAGCGAAAAGGAACACATGCAGAACAAATCGACGAGCAACGGTGGCACAGTAAGTGATCCGGAGCCGAGGCATCCGCTCCCACCGCAAATATTCAACGAGGATGAATACTGTGGCGACTATGATGCCTTCGATATGGCCAATGAGATTGACACGCTTGAAGTTTTCTTGAAACTGGCCCCAGCCGATACCACAGCAGTGAGCAGCGCTCAAATCGAACTGAAGCAGGAGAACGGCGAGGCCAAGGAGGCTGAGAAGGCTGCAGATGCGGAGGCAGATGGTGAGAAGCCCGCGGATGGTGCTTCGGGTGATGCCAATGGTGAAGCGAGCGAAGCGGATAAGGCAGAGGTTTGAACATTTTACTTTTCTAAATAATTACTACTGTTATGTGAAGCAAGCAGAGCAACCAACCACAGCAACAACATCAGCAGAAGCAACAATAACAACAACTGCAATTTATCCACTAATATCAATTGAAAAACACCAATACTATAACAAGAAATGTCAACAACAGTTACAGTAGCAGTACAGTTCACAATATTGTTAACAGCAACACCTAACAGAATAATCTAGCAGCTTTTGAACTCACACTCTTGTCTCTCTATCACAAGCGCGCTTCTTTACTATTTTATGTTTAATTTATAAAACAATTGATGTGCATCACAATGACTGCGGTTCTTAAGCTAAGCTACTTACAACCATACATACTAATTTAAGTGAGCAATTGTGTAACATCACAATACTCACTGAAAAAAAAGACAATTTTAATCAAAATAATTATTTGAAATATTTATTATCATTAACAATTTACACCTATGCTTAATCATTATTTTTATTATTGTATTAATTCCAATGAAATGAACAACGTTTTTTTAACACCGACGACACCAGCACCAGTTTACTTGGTTTAAGATCGTTTAAGTTTAGGTTTCATTAACTTGAATGAGAGTGTAAATGCTGAACATACTTGTAAATGCAGCTGTTATGTTAATGCGAAAACATAAAAATGCGCTGCATATGAGAATAAAGAAGAAAATATATTTGTATTTACTAAAAATGAAAACTATATAATCAACAATAATGCTCGTTTTTTTTTAACACAACTAAACACAACAACAACAACATCACTAAAACGATCTCACAGTAGATCAGTGCGTGAGTTAACAGCTCATGTTAAGCTTGGCTAGAAAAGATACAAGTATTAGAAATTAACATTTGATATGTGTGTAAAATATTTCAAAGAAAAAAGACGATGAAAATGGCGAGGCTACAAGTGAGAATAAGGAAACGACAGAAACCGAAGGCAATGAAAAGAAGGATGAAAACAGCGAGGAAAAGGTAATCGCTTATTAGTTTAACTTATGCATGATCAAGCAAAACCAGAGATGAGAAAAAGCTCTACAGAGTGCCTGCTGGGCACATTTATGCATGGCAACCAATATTAAATATTGAAAACACATACTTTCAAAATTATATATGTTTCTATATGTATATTTACACGCTTTCCTACACCCAATCCCTGCAACAACCAAATCAAAAATTCCATTTATAAAATTCAAAAGAATAACGATGAAGATGACAAGGATACTAGTGAAAATAAGGAAGCAGATATCAAAGGCGATACAAAGGATGAGAGTAGTGAAGAAAAGGTATAGGCTCCTATTCTAATGATTTTAGAGGAAGAAAATAACCTTTGTCTTGTAGATGTTGCAAACAGCCCCTAAATATTTAAAATTTACGTTGCTTTTTCAAAGCTGTTACTTGAATTAAACTAAACGCTCATATAATAGATGCCTTAGCAAAAGCTACTAATTGTTTTTTAGTAATTGACTTACACAATACATATACAGAATGTACTGAACAATTGATTTGTTGCATTTTAAAGAAAAACGAAGATGATGTTGAAGATAAGGAAACAACAGATGTGGAAGGTGAAAAGAACGACGAGAGTACTGAGGAAAAGGTATAAGTCACTACATCACATCATTTAAGAATGGTCAAATAACATTAGTTTAGTTGCTGCTCTAGAAGAGCTAACATACAACGTTTTCGCACTGTTCAGTGATAATTATGGAATTTGTAGATCTGATGCATGTATGATCAGTTTTAATAGTAGATCCATAGATGCTAAAGGCAGCTAACCAGGCATGTGAGCTCATTGTTAAAAAATTTACACTTTACAAATACCCTTTAATACATCTGTGCATACATATTTACACGGTATCCCACACCAAACCCCAATTGCCTGTACATTAGACTGAAACTGAAGGTACTGAAGAGACCAAGGAAGAGAGTGCAGAAAAGTCAGGTAATATGGAAAGAGAGTATGTAGGAAATAATCTTAGTTTTCACTACTCATGCGGGTACAGAAGAAAAGGAAGGATCATCTGATGTCGAAAAGATCGACAAAAGCGATGAAGAATCAAAAAAATCAGAAAACAAAGATGATCAGACTGATGAAGAATCTACTCCGGAAGTGCAAAACACTGAAGATGAAACAAAGGAATCGAACAATGAAACATCTTCGAACACTGACGAGGCTGAGAAAAAAGAAGACGACACAGCCCTTGTGGAAGATGGCGAATCTGAGGAAAATATTGATAATGAGAAATCGAATGCCAAAGAAGATGAAACATCTTCAAACGATGATGGCTCCAACCATAAAGAAGAGTCAAAAGAAACTGTGGAGAATGTAGAACCCGAGAAGACAACAGCTAATGAGAAATCCAATGTGCCTGAAGATGAAACAAAAGAAACAGCAGATGAGTCAAAAGAAGAAAGTGGGGAGAATGTAGAACCCGAGGAAACGGCAGCTGATGATAAATCCAATGTGACTGAAGACGAAACGAAAGAAACAGTCTCCAATGATGACAATGCTGACAAGAAAGAAGAGTCCAATACCGGTGTGGAGAGCGTCGAATCCGAAGAAAAGAATACTAATGAAAAATCCAAAGTAGAAGATGAGCAATCTAGTGAAGCTGAAACATCTGAAGAAGAAGAGGAAGAAGAATAATAGCTTTAAACTACCCTTTCTGTCATGATGCACGACACCCACACAAAATGCAAAGCATTGTAGACCATCCACATGCACACACGCACACATACATATACTATAGCAAATATTTCAACATTTTTTGTAAATATGCACAACTTTAAACACTAATAAAGAAAACGGGTGGCGAGTTATAAATAAAAAATATAAACTAAATGCGACATCAATAATGTTATAATATTTTCCTTTGAACAGCAGCTTACAGCAGCGACCTTATCGAGCACAACGACTGCAGCTCCAACGGGCAGTGGCCACAAATCAAAAAACAATAGTTCGGAGCTATCGGAATCTGCGCTACTGCTGGGAAGCGAACGCGACGCGTCAGCGCAGTAGACAGCGTTCCCTCTAAGGATCTCCGAAAGTTCTCAATTTCTTTCGTTATGAAGAACCTATATTATTACCCTGTATTCCCAAAGCTTAAAATGGTACAATAGCGTTATCAAAATATACTTAACAAACAAATCGACTTGAATTGCAGGTCCGTTTAAGCTTCTGATCATCAAAAGATTTAAAACCTTTCATCTTAAAAGCACCAAACTAGCTTCTTATACTAGCAAGCTATCTCAAAAGTTAATTTTATTAAAAAAAAACTGTTATTAAATGGGCTTACAACATCGCTTAGAAGCTGCTAGTCCGAATATTATTTTTATTATAAAAATCATATAAAACTATATGCACAAAATATGATTATGTAGAGTCTCATGTTGGCTTCCAGCTGCAGGTACAGGGTATCCAGAAGTCGTGTGCATGCGACTATAACTTTACTTACTTTCTAACTATTGACCACAGATGTCGATAAAAAGCTTATTGTATTTTTTTCACACTCTTTTATTTTGTATCCAAATTAATTAAATATACAATATATAGTACATTATTTGTAGTACAGTACACAGTAAAATGAAGTTATTATTTATTTACGCGCTAGCCCGGGCTTTATATATTAATTTTTTGTTTTATAAAACTAGTAAAAATGCAAAATGTCTTCACCAAGTTGGAAAACTTTCGCTACTAAGTGATTTACTAAATGATTTACTAATAAAAAGGAAAACAAAAGTTCTTGTTTTTTGCCAAAAGTGGACATTCACACTCGCACGGGTGGCGCTATGGAGCAGTTGGAGGCCTATGCCTACACGTTGGGACGTCTCAAGGACGTAGTTACGAGGTACACTCGTACCATTTCTTATTCAAGTCATTTGTCATTGCTGCTGTAAATGGTAATGGTTGGTTGCTTGGGTGGTGGTTTCTAATCGCTGTCCTCTTCGTCGGAGGTGTCCGTAGTGTAGTCACTCAAATTTTCCTGCTGATCATTGTTCTCCGGTTCTGATTCGCTGAGATCCCATTGTGGATGATCTGTTGGGGGTGCAGGAGCCTTTTGTACGTCTAATTTAAGCTCCTGTTGCTGGTCCATTCCCAGATAGGAATCTAACAAGGAAATTTGGGTTTTGCAAACAAATAGGAGTCGATATTGTTAGTACTCACCTGATCGCAGGCAAACCGTAAAGGTGTAAAGACCCGGCCAACGGGGCGCCGTAAATTTCAACTGAATTTCTTCTTTCTCGACCAGATTTGTTACGTGATAGGGCGCCGTGAGTAGTGTGCGTGACTTCCGGTCGCATATGTAGGTCCACCAGTATTCCTGTTTCTCCTCCGGGAAGTATGGACAGTGCACCGAATGCGACATACGTGACTTGCCTTCGAGCCTTTCGCGTTTATTTAACTTTTCCTGCAGACGCTCCCACTCTTCGTCGTCGTCATCGTCCAGTGATGAATTATTTTTATTTTGCTTTTCCTCATCCTCGCTGTCCGATCCGGCGGCCGAGTCTACATCACTATGTTCGGCAGCAACAGATTCTGCGTTGAGATTGGTCGACTGATCCTCGCCTGTAGCTGCCGAGGTGGAAGCTGCAGCGGCGACTGTCTTAGCATTCGGTTGCACTTTCTTCTTTTGATTGTTTGCGGGCTTCTTACCACCCTTGCCCTTACCGCCCTTGCGGGGCTTTGCCCAGGCGGATGCTTTCTTTACAGATACGGCAGCTGCTTCCTCTTCATCGACTACAGCAGCCTCTTCATTAGTATCGTCCTTGATGCCCTGTTTTTCCGGAACCTTTGTGTCGCCGAAAAGCGTTTTCATGTCCTTACGTTCCAAAGTCACTGTTACAGTGACTATGGCACCGGCAGTGACCACATTTGTGTTCTCGTCGTCAATCACTGGTTGGAGAGCAACAAAAATTGTAGGTAGTAAAGTATATTCCCAAATATAAAGATAGTTATATGATATTACCTTCACACCGAATGGAGAAGTCAATCAAGGGCATTTTCCCCAGCACTTTCATCACGTTCTCGTATTCAAATTCTGTGAGGTTCTTGAGCAGAGTTCGACTCTCCTCAGGCTTGAGCTGCGCAAATTGCTGCAAATTCTTGACATGCCGTTTCTTGTTCATAAAGTACAAATGGTCTTCGGTAAGATGTGGCAGTTGCAGCAGCGGCGACTTGAACTCCCACAGACCCTGTATGATCATAGGTGACATTTTCATGCAATTTTCAATGGTCTCGATGCTGGGAAGACGTGGCACTCGTCGCGCATAGGCCATCATTACCAGCTGATGTACGCATGAGACCATTTCCTGAACCAAATATGGACACTTCTTCACAATGAACTGGCGATCCCGTTCAAGTGTTTCTGGGTTGAGTGGAATGCGTGAGAGATGGGCGTGCAGAATTGCGCGTGCTTTGAGAGAATACATGCGACAAAGCGGATGCTCCTTGCATTTTTCATTTAAATTAGGAAGCTGCCGTATGAGCTGAAAACAGAGGCCAGTTTTGAATGTTTAAGGAGCAGTCTAGGGAGCATAACATTATCGCACTCACCGCCGGCACTTCATCGTTGTCTGACTGCCGTTCGACGACCTGTGAGTTGTGCCGCTTGTCGAATTCTAAACTTGCGGCTAGCACCATTAACGCACGCTTAAGCAGCATGTGCGGCGTTTTGTGTATGAAATAGAAATACATTTGAGTTGTGTCCAACAGGACTTTGTCGCCACTAAAGCGAATGGAGCGGTACCACCAAACGCCCACAACGGATGGCAGAGCCACCATGAACACCAAGCCGTAAAGACCTAGCACCCAAACAGAGTTCTCCTTCTCTACAATCCACGAGGGTAACGCAATGCCAAAGGACATGGCACCAGGCCCATCTGGATTTCCATATTTCTCATAATTCTCTTTGGCCACGTCATCTGTGAGTGCCTGGTAAGCCTTGCTCAGCATCATAAACGACTTCTCGTCACCAGTCTCCTTGTCGGGATGCAGTACTTTAGACAGCTTGTAGTAGGCCTTCTTAATCTCGGCCTGTGTAGCTGTAGGTGGAACATTCAATATCTCGAAGGGATCAAAGCTGGCCATTTCATAGTCGAATTGGGAGACGCGGTAGGTGAGGAACAAGAGCAGCGCCCAGCCCAACACAATGGTCAATTTTATGGCCACAGATTTGACTGCTCGATATGGCTCGGCATAGGCCAATATCAATTTCTTTTTTATACAATCGCCACATTGGCATTCTTCTTTCAGTTTCGATGGATCTGCAAGAAATATTTCAATCTTTAATTACCGTATCACGTTCATTTTTTTATATAATAAATAAAAATAAGAAAAGTTAACAAAGTTCTAAGAGTGTTATATGAAATTAGCTAAAACTGGTAAACTTATTTCTTTAATTGAAAACAGAATTAGTTTTTGACTTCCTTCAAAGTCATCTATCAAAAACTGTTTTATAGCAGAAATAAAACAATAAATGCCACTATCTACTATATGTTAAATAAAATTGGAAACCTATCTATTATAAAATATATACTTGTATATATATATTTTAAACAGGTATAATAGAAAGTCCAAAATGTGTTAAGTTTTTATTTTAGTTACCGAGAACGAATAATTACAAAAAATTCTACACTTTACCTTATGAGGTAAAAAATATAAAAAGAAGCTTATATTCGTTAATTGCCAAACAACTTGTGCATTCTTCTAAATGGAGCACAAATGAGGGGCGAGATCTCAACAAGTGCGTGGAGAGCGCGAGCGCTAAGGCGTGTCTGTGTGTGTGTATATATACATATATATAAGTCTGTCCCAATTGCCAACTGAGCTGAGGTTGTTGTTGCTATTACTATAGTTGCTTATGCAGCTTTCACCAATACGAAGACATTGGTGAGCCGTCGAGCGACATTGTTAGAATAAATTATTGGAACGTGTCTATTTGCCACAGCAGCGATACTGCGGCGGCGGCTGGGAAACTGTATGCTAATAGGAAAATTACACGCTTACACACACAATGGCACTCGCTATCGGAGGCTAATATTAATCAGTAGTACCAACTAACCTTCTTTCTTTTTACGTGGCCAATAATAAATTGTTGTTGGTATTAAGATTAACGCTAAGAACGATAACACAAAATAGTAAAACGTTCCGCCGCTTTCATCATATTGAAACTTTTGACCCGCCATTGAAGCTGTTGCCGGTGCAGCCCGTAATTATTTACACTGTTTATTGATAGCACGATGTCTGTGTTCCTTTGGTGTAGTCTTTTTTCGTAGTGGAGGCGGCGACAGCGACAGCGGCGCAGCTCTTGGGGCCGCGGTGCAGTTGCCCAGCTGATGGTTTTGCACGCTGGCAGTGTGTGAGGCGCGCGCTTTTAAACAAATGCTTGGGTTGTGAACATTTATTTAATTAAAGAACGCACGATTTTTGTGGCTAGCAGTCCCAGTGCCAATTAGAGGAATTTTACGCCGCGTTTAAAAAAATTATTTACACCGTCCCCAAATGACACGTCGAGTTTCCATTTATCGCTTATCGATAACTACAAGTCGGGGTTCTCTCGTGTGGGCTGACCATATTCGATCATTTAATACCATCTCAATACCGTTGCAAAGTTATTGTGGTACAATAACTTATTCAAAAACTTACCGCAGACTGTGTACAGGTATATACCACATTACTATTCGTATATCAATTTTTGTAAACTATAGAATTATCCTAGCTTTTAACTTTATTAAAATTCATATGCTGTGTTTTGTTTTTATGTTATAGTATTTGCTTTTGATTATTATTCATCTTATAACTATGATTTATTTAATTTAACTGAATGTAAACTGGGCTCTTGAAAAGAAAGTGTTCAACCACTCACCAATTAAAAAATGTAACGTAATTTGAAATGTTTTCTCATGCTTTATGCCAATTTTGCAAAGCGTCCTTTAAACACTTTCGCTTTGGTCACCTGAACACATAAATTTATATGTACAAGCATGCATACATACCTTCATGTGCATGTATGTAAGTGGCTTGGTACAAATTTCGCCACCGCAGTGGCAGCACAGGTCCAGCTATCGATAGATTTTTACAGTTGTGCAGTTCCGCGTACGCGTTGAACGCGATAGCAACGAAAATCAATTGACTCTCGGGGAACTGCTGTTTTTTAGTAGAACTGAAGTGATGATTTTTTAAATCTAAACAAATTCAAATCGTGCTTGTTTGAAGAATTGTTTACTGCAAGTATTTTATAAAAACATCAAGTGGTTTAACTGAGTCGTGCGCCGCAACAGCTAAAAGAAGTTGGACCAAGAAGAAAAACCAGTTATGTATACATGTGTATAAATGTATGTATGTGTGTGCGGCTTAAATGCTGGTGTTTCGTTTTTCATGGGCAAAAATAATTTTTATGGCAAAAAATTTTAAATGAAAGTGTCGTTTGGTGTACGTAAAGTGTGTGCTTAACATGATTTAACTATTTGGTGTTAGCGACATCAGCAATAAAACCAAGTTTGGAGCGTCTGCCGCGAATGAAAAGCCGCCTCTACATCAACAACTGCAATTGGCGAAAATTCCATGAGCAGGAGGAATAGCAGCAGTAGCAGAAAAACGGTAAAACGGCTATTAAACTAAAGCCGATTTGCTGCAAAACAATTGCAAAATAAAAGTAAGTACCAGTCAAGTATACATACCTATTTATGTACATGCATATTTACTTTGCCTTACATATTGTTAAGTCTTTAAAAATGCATTATCTACTTGTGTACGTAGATACATATACAAATATATGTATGTACGTAGTATCTATGTACATATGTATGTGAAATATGTTCAGGTGTTTGGGTTTGGCGTCCAATGAAGAAAAAAGTAGTCTTGCATGCGGGAGAGTATGTATTTGTGCAAAAAGCAGGTAGAAAAGCTACATAGATAATGTGTACATAAAAAACGACTCAAGGGCGCGCTGCTGCTATAAATTAAACGTCTGATTTGTTTTTGTCAGGTGTCTGTTATTTTTTTTTTAGCCGCTTCTACACAGGTGGTGGTATTTGTTTCTATTCATTGCTAATTTTGGCTACTAAGGCATCTGTATTTGTGTGCTAATTTTGTTAGTTTGATTTCTTTTTTTCTTGAAAAGCTTTCGCGTATTTTATGTAATTTGGCAATGTGGAAAATCGATAAATCAGCGCTGCTGCAGCTGTTACCAAGCATTGTTTCCTGTGTGTGAGTGCGTATATGTATATATTTATATATGCCTATGTATGCGTGGGTTGTGGAGCCCAGGCGTAATTGGGGTAGCAAACACGCATGCACATAGGCACACACACAATATATGCACATACATACATATATACAATGGCGCCTTAGCTTGTATTGAAAGCCGCATGCTACAAAATAAGCCGCTCATTGTAAAAAAAATACTGACTTGTGTATTTTGGTGTATATCTCTCTCATACACACGCACTAATACACTCAGCCTTTTTATGCATTTTTACGCTTGCATTTCCCCATTGTGTGTGCAAATAAGAAAAATCAATAAAAAGCTGACGTCAAAATGTTATTATGGAAAGTCGTCTAATTCCAAATTCAAACATTTAAGCACGTTATTAACCCAATTTGCATATGCAAGAGTTAAGGGTGAGGGTGAGAGAGCACTTAATGTTGATGACTATAGCATGCTAATAAATCGTATGTGTTACTAAAAATGCGGCAATGTCTGAGTCACGCATCCATAAAAAATGCCTCTAAATTTGCGCATGAGTTCAATACTTAACTTTAAATTTAAAAAAAATGGTCAAACATTTCAATCATTTATAACACATTAAGTAAGCAGTGATCACAACAACAAAGCGTGGGATCTCATAAGAAATAGCGGGACCTGCTTCAACCATTTGCCAAAATACAAGTAGAAATGATGAGTCATCACTTCATCATTTTCGATGCAATTCATCGTTGCCTTATCTAGACGAGCACTTGGCAAAAGCAAGTGGCTAACAACAAAAACTAAAACAACAAATATGTGGGCAATTAAAAATTTTCTCTGCACGCTTTCCCAAACACTTCAAGTTGTTTTCACTTTGTGTGATATCATTTTTGCTGATTGCCTCAATTAATGTGCTGAAAAAACACGAATAAACTCACAGTTATTTCGTGGGAAATTATGTGTGAAAAATTGTTCTATTTCTGTTTATTCGCTATTTTTTCTGTTGAAAATCAAAACATTGGCACACATTATTAATTAGTTTTTGCAATTGTCGCATGCGATATGTATTTATTGGCTATACCCACTCTTATCAAAACAACAACAATAATAATAATTCGAACAAAGTAGGAAGCATGCTTAAATTGTCACTCGCTTGTATTTTATTATCATGTACATGGGCCGGGCGTCGCGTTTATCAGACAAATTTTTATGCTGCTGTTGACCTAGAATTTACCCATTATTTCGCTTGCCTTTTTCATTTACAAATGCCTCGAAGTAACTAACTTTTCATGTGAGTGTGTGTGTTTATACATATGTATGTATGTGTGTACATATGTATATATAATTGTCGCCGACAATGTGCGCGGACATGCCGAAGATGTGACGCCATATTCTGTGGCGCCGTCGCTTGAGAAGAGTAGTAGTAAAACCTAGGGTTGGGGATGGGGTACTGACATTTGACTGGACCTCGCAAGCACAACACAAGTAAGTACCGCTACTTGCGCCACAAACAGTTCAAAAATGTACATAAGTTACAAACTATAAATTACTGTGTTCGCTAGACAAAACTGTAGGTAGTTTGTACATATTTAAAAGTAATTTGTTTAACACATATCAATAAATGATAAAATGGAAAAATCAATGACATTGCGCTGCGTAGTGGAATAAAGCGACACTAAAAACTTTTATGTCATTCGGACTTGCTCCGATTTTCCACAACACTTGAGTTTAATGAATTTGTAGTAATCAACAGGTTCCACATTCGAGTACTTTAGAGTCTTTGTTAATTAAAGAACTGGGAAGCGGTTTTTATATTTTTATGTATTCCAAGTCAACTATGGTAACGACTGCGTTTGATTGGAGGTTTTTGAATTTAATACTTTTTAATGAACGATTTTTGAACGTTTGTTTTAATTAATTGTTGATTTTATCGAATCATTCATCTATGTAGATACATACATGTATTTTTTCTATAATGTATTAAGTAAAGTTATTAAGAACGCAATATGGCTGAAATAATTTTATCTTAAGTAGGTGTCCGATATTTTTTGGGTTCATGGGCACTCATATCACATTTGGGTACCTAACAATAAGGCTTTTAATATTAGGGATTTGTTGAATGTAAATAAAAATGTTCCTATCGAAAAACTTCAAAATATATGCCATATTAGCCGATTATAATTGAACCGTTTGCTGTCTTTCTTATACGATTCCAACATATATATTTTCAGAAAGCCAACTTACCTGCTTACAATCAATCAATCAGACATTTATGAATGATCTTTGCAAGGCTATAAGACTATTAATCTAACGGCAAAACATTTAAACATTCCAAATTGTGTGTTGTGATATAGTAGTTCGAGATACTATCAATTGGCAATCTATTGCGATTAGAATAAATTAAAGAAGGTAACAAGTCTAAGGAGTGAGTAGTTCAGTTTGTTTGGTTATGCATATGTATTATTCATGACCTCAGGTCTGTAACTTTGCATGTAATTATAATATCTACTGGGGTTTCCGTACGTTGGAATGCAAATAATTTTTTCAATTAGGAAACAAGCGAATGCAAAACATATTTCCAATTAGTTTAATCGTGTTGAAAAAGTGTGTCTGCGAATTCCTTAACAGACCCGCACACTCTCATTTGCGCATTATGCGACAGTGTGTGCAACCTAATCCGCCGGCTTTTGCCACTACCGGAGTCGCCGTTTGCCCCGCCCGTGCCCACGTCATCTCAAAAGCAGCGGAGTACAACGAGGGGCAGGGAGAAATAGAAATTAAAAGCATATTTATTTTATTTTTCTCAGCGGTGTGTGCATGAATAGGAAAAAGAGGAGAAAAAAAGTTACTCTTGGCCCCTTCTTTTTATTTGTTGTTTGTTTGTTCAATTTCGGCATTTTGGCCTTTTGTTTGTACACATGTTTGTGTGAAAGTGAGTCAAATGCGCAACGTATGCATGTATGTATGTGTAAGTGTTCATTGTGGTTGTGTGTTTATTCATTAGTTTTTGTCTTATCTGCTACATTTGGTATATATTTTTTTCGTATTTATTTATTTATTGTCTGCATTTTCAACGCTAAGAACTGTGGCGCGTACTTTTCCACTGTATATTTATTTATTTACACATATACATGTGCATATATAAATACGTACATTTGTTTTTGTTTTTAGCTGCAACTGATTTGATTGTGAATGTTTTGTGGCATGGACTTTGTGCAACGAATTCGATTACATATTTTAATTGCTTGATTGCCCTCTTCAATTGTGGGCCTCTCGCTTGAAGAACTTCATAATTTTACTGCTACGCTTTTTGTTTTGACCGTAAAAGTATTTATTTTTAATAACATATAATATATTTCATTGATATCATTTAAATACGTTATTCTCAAATAGTTACTTTAACTTTTACTATTAACAATATCACATTTTAAACAAAATGGTAATTAAAACCAGGTCTGATTATTTTCCCGTTTCCGTATAACGGAGCATCATTAAAGACAAGTAAGTAAACATTGAATGGATCACCCTGCGGTCTGTTTTCGTGTGCAGAGCATACAGATCCAATTATTTATTGTTAAGAATACGCGCTTCATGTTAGAACTACTAAGAACCTGAATTTATACAAAGTTTATTATACAAAAATGAATTTCATTGGCTTGTCAGAATGTTTGGTGTAGAAAGACCGAGGCAGTCAACTACGGTTAAGCATTGGCAACGTTTATGCTTTTAATTATTTTATCAGAGTAAAGTTAATTATATTAACGAGCGACACACATATCGTCAATTAATTTGCCACCCCCACCAGAACGCCACCCTAATTGCTTGCAGATTAGTTTCAGATCCCCATATGCTGGGTGTGTCCTCCATAGTAATGGCCAATAACGCGACGGGTGTGAACAATTAGAAGCTCTAAACAATGAGCTTGCTTGGGCCGATATGTACATACACATACATAAATATGCGTATAACGTTTGGCAAACGTGTCACGCAACCTGGGCCTGGGCTCAACTCAACTTAGCTCAGCTCATCACGTCCAGCGATGCCAATCGCATAAACTTGGGCTATTTTTGGGCACGCTTTTTGTTTACGTTTATGTGCAAAAATGTGAGGCGATTTGTGGAATCGTGGGCGTTGATTAGGCTGCTGTTTACGGCTTAGATTTTTATTTGGCACATATTTTAGTGACATTTTTGGCACTCCTGTGAGAGGCGGAACGGAAGTTGTAAATATATTTATATCGGGTGCATATTTAGTTTCTTTGAGGAAGGTCAGTTTCTTTTGGGAATAAACCGAAACTTACACGAATACATATGTACTTGTACATATTTATAACGCGAATTAAAGTAAATTGAATTTTATTATGCAATATTCAAAATGATGGTAATTCATCAGTCAATCAACAATTTTGGGGCACATAAATCAGCCCGACATATAAATTTCAAATAAAGGGAGGGCGGGAGGTTGAA